GGCCATGGGGCCCCCTTGCACAAAGACTGTAGCAGGGAGATATGCAACATCCTTTCTGGACTGGCCCTGCAAAGGGAAGAAAGCCCCACTCTCACCCCAGCCCAGGAACCCATGCGTCTCACCCTTCTCAGTACTCTGAGAGTGAGGGCTCCTCCCCAACTCAAGTGCTGGCCATACATCTTGGCTCCATGCTCTGGAGTTGTGCACCATGGCCCTGGAGGTACTGGGATATCTTGAGATTCAGGGTCAGGGTCAGGTTCCAGCTGCACTGGGGGGTCCAATTTGCTCCGCGGTTGCCAGGAAACTGCACCTGAGTCTGGAGAACAGTGGTCCTCTTCTCACAGTTCCACTAAGCAGTGCCCCACTAGGGACTCTGTGTGGGGGCTCTGACCCCACATTTCCCTTCCTCACTGCCCCAGAGGTTCTCCATGACTGCCCCACCCCTGCAGCAAACTTCTGCCTGGGTATCCAGGCATTTCCATACATCCTCTGAAATCTAGGTGGAGGTTCCCAAACCTGAATTCTTGACTTCTGTGCACTCACAGGTTCAGCACCATGTGGAAACTGCCAAGGCATGAGGCTTGCACCCTCTGAAGCCATGGCCCACCTCTATGTTGTTCCCTTTCAGCCATGGCTGGAGCGACTGGAATTCAGGGCACCAAGTCCCTAGGCTGCACACAGCATGTGGACCTTGGACCCTACCCAGAAACCATTTTCTTCTAGGCCTCCAGGCCTGTGATGGGAGGGGCTGTGTGAAGGCCTCTGGCATGCCCTGGAGATACATTCCCCATTGTCTTGGGGATTAACATTCCCCATGACAATGGGGAATTAACATTCCCTAATTTACTTAAGCAAATTTCTGCAGCCAGCTTGAATTTCTCCTCAGAAAATGCAGTTTTCTTTTCTATCACATTGTCAGGCTACAAATTTTCCAAACTTTTATGCTCTGTTTCCCTTTTAAAACTGAATTCCTTTAGGCTGGGCATGGTGGCTCATGCCTGTAATCCCAGCACTTTGGGAGTCTGAGGCGGGCAGATCACGAGGTCAGGTGATTGAGACCATCCTGGCTAACACGGTAAAACCCCATCTCTACTAAAAATACAAAAAAAAAAAAAAATTAGACAGGTGTGGTGGTGGGCACCTGTAGTTCCAGCTACTTGGGAGGCTGAGGCAGGAGAATGGTGTGAACCCGGGAGGCAGAGCTTGCAGTGAGCCGAGATCGTGTCACTGCACTCCAGCGTGGGCGACAGAGCGAGACTTGGTCTCAAAAAAAAAAAAAAACAAGAACAAAACTGAATGCCTTTAACGGTACCCAAGTCACTTCTTGAATGTTTTGTTGCTTAGAAATTTCTTCTGCCAGACACCTTAAATCAGCTCTCTCAAGTTCAAAGTTCCACAAATCTCTAGGGCAGGGGCAAAATGTCCCCAGTCTCTTTGCTAACACATAGCAAAAGTCTCTTTTGCTTCAGTTCCCAACAAGTTTCTCATCTCCATCTGAGACCACCTCAGCCTGGACCTTATTGTCCATATCACTATCAGGCTTTTGGTCAAAGTCATTCAACAAGTCTCTAGGAAGTTCCAAACTTTCCCACATTTTCCTGTCTTCTTCTGAGCCCTCCAAACTGTTGCAACCTCTGCCTGTTACCCAGTTCCAAAGTCGCTTCCATATTTTTGGGTATCTTCAATAGTGCCCTACTCTACTGCTACCAATTTACTGTATTAGTCCATTTTCACACTGCTGACAAAGACATACACAAGACTGAGAAGAAAAAGAGGTTTAATTGGACTTACAGTTTCACATGGCTGGGGAGGTCTCAGAATCATGGCAGGAGGTGAAAGGCACTTCTTATATGGTGATGGCGAGAAACAATGAGAAAGATGCAAAAGCGGAAACCCCTGATAAAACCATCAGATCTCATGAGACTTATTCACTACTATGAGGACAGTATAGGGGAAACCGCCCCCATGATTCAAATTATTTCCCACAGGGTCCCTCCCACAACATGTGGGCATTATGGGAGTATAATTCAAGATGAGATTTCAGTGGGGACACAGAGCCAAACCATATCACTTGGTTATTGTATTTTTCAGTTCTTAAATTTTCACTTAGTTCTTTATAATTTCTATTTATTTGCTGAGGCTTTGAATTTTTTCATTTCCTTTAAGTATGTTCAGATTTTGCTCATGGAAGCATTTTTATCATGGCTGTTTTAAATACTTTATCAGATAATTCTAATATCTCTGTCATCTTAGTGTTGACAGCTATTGGTTTTCTATTTTCACTCAGTTGGAGATTGCATTCGCCCATTCTTGCATTGCTATAAAGAAATACCTGATATTGGGTAAGTTACAAGAAAAGAGGTTTAATTAGCTTATGGTTCCACAGGCTATAAAGGAAGCATGGCAGCACCTGCTTCTGGGGAGGCCTTAGGGAACTTTAACTCACAGCAGAAGCCAAAATAGGAGCAGGCATCTTATGTGGCAGGCACAGGACCAAGAGAGTGAGGGAGGATGCACTACACACCACACTTTTTAAACAACCAGCTCTCATGATGACTCACTCACTCTCACTCACTGTCATGAGAACAGCACTGAGGGGATGGTGCTAAACCATTCAGGGGATTCCTCCCCGATGATCCAGTCACCTCCCAACAGGTCCCTCCTCCAACACTGGGGATTACAGTTCAACATGAGATTTGGTGGGAACACAGATCCAAACCATATCAGATATAAGTGACTTTTAATTGAATCCTAAAAACTTTCATATTATGAGACTTTGTATCTTATTTAAATTTTCTGTTTTACTCGAATTTCTCAAACACTAATCTGACAAGGAAAGGGATGGGAGTCTCCTTACTATTGATGGAGGTAGAAGTCTATATTCCCCATTCATACTTCATTGTCACCCAAGGGATGGGGGACCTCTTTGATACTGCTATATATGGGTGTGAGTTCCAGCTCCACGTGTAGTTTCTATGATCAACATGGTGGGGATGGTGAGTACTTATTGATAATGATGAAAGTCCTGACTCTCTATTAATGTTCTTCTGATAACCACCCCTGAGGGGAGAGAGGATGGTACCTTATTACTGACCTTGGGAGTGGAAGTCCAGGCTATCACATGGCCTCCACAGGCATCTTGGTGGTGAGGGTGGGGGCGAGGCTGGTTACCAGCCAGCATGAATAAATGTACTGGCTCCCTACTTGGCCTTCTCTAATATCATCCAGTGGGAGTGTTGGGACACCTAATTACAGCCCTGTGAGGGTGGATGTCTAGCCTCCCCACTTAACCTTTGCTGATTTAGTTGGGGATTGTACCAGAGTTTTTCTGTGGTGTTTGGTTGGAATAGAATAGTTACTGTCTAAAAGTTTTCTCTCCTTCTAGGCTGCCCGTTTCCTGGTCCTTCGGCTAGAGACAGCAAGCTTTTGTTAAGGCTTTCCGTATCTGTAGATCTGTTGGTGTTTCTAGGCTGCCAACTTACTCTTCTCCAAGTCTGAGATAGATGAGGCTAAAAGAATATCCAAGGAACTCACAACAGTGTTGTTCCTCAGGTTCTAAGGCACATAGTTGCTCTACTTTCTTCTCTCCATTTTTTTCAGAGTCTTCTTATGTTTGTTTTGCACATAATGTTTAGCTGTATTTATAAATTGTAAATTGGTGATCTGTAGTTCATAGATGGCCTCAAGGTGTTTTAAAAGAAAGTGGGGCAGGTTGGAGTGGAAAGGTCTACAACCCCTTATCAAAACCCTTGGGGACAGATTTTTTTGTGTGTTCAGAAATATTTCTGAACATATTATATATGATATTATAAAGAAATCATTGCTGACATTTATTAAAAACAATAAGGCAGACTTTATTCAGGGGGGCTACTACAATGGGGTTTTGTAGCAGGGAAGAGAGATGGGGCTGAACTCTGAATATAACAAGGACAAGTGGAGATTTATAGCCAAGGAACAGAGTGGGGGTCAGTGGACGGAAAATTACTAAGAAGTAGGGTAATTCTTCACTAGACTGTTTTAATAGGACTTTTTGTGGAGGGCAAGCCAGGTGATAAGGGTTGAGTGATGAGGAATTTCATCAGATATCAAGGGTGGGGAATTGTTTCTAAAGTAACTTGCAGGATTATTGCTAGAATTGGACTAAATAGGTTAAGGACACAGCTCAAGGTCAGGAACTAGTCAGAAAAAGGACTCAGAGAAGCCTGGCTCAGGTTGGGTCAAAGGAGAAAGTCTTTGTCAACATGATACCACTAGCAAGTTCTGGTACAGAATCCCAAAATCAAACATCTTAGTGCTTCTGCGGCAAAACATGAATATTCATACCAAGTTAAATAAAGACTATAAAGATCATTACTTCATGTCAGATAACTTATGAAAATCTTTTCAGGGCCAGGCCCAGTGGCTCAAGCCTGTAACCCCAGCACTTTGTGAGGCCTGGTTGTACAGATCCCTTGAGCTCAGAATCAGCCTGGGCAACATGGCGAAACCCTGTCTCTACAAAACAAACAAAAAACAAAAATTAGCTGGGCATAATGGTGTGTACCTGTAGTTCAGCTACTCAGAAGGCTGAAGTGGGAGGATTGCTTGAGCCCAGGAGGTGAAGGTTGCAGTGAGCTGAGATTACATCACTGCACTACAGTCTGGGCAACAAAGCCAGATCCTGTCTCAAAAGAAAAAAGAAAAAAAAGAAAAAAGAAAAAAAGGAAAAAAAATTTTTTTCTGATTTTAGAGCATCTTATGAGTTAGGAATTGTGGGTCTATTTCACTGACTGTGTGTATCTACAGCTTGGCAGCTTGGTCTCAGCGCCCTCTGACTTGCAACCGCACAACCTTCTGCAGGCATTTGGGTTTGTGTTCTTTGTGTCCTGAACCATTTTAAACTCTTATATTGAGTTATTTTGCTAGTGAACTAACTCATTGAAAAATAGTTTACTTTAAAAATCTAGTATTTAATTGAATATAGAAGCTTCTTTGTTAACAATGCCCTCCTCTTTCTGTAGATGAAGATGAGGAGAGTGAGGAATCAAGTGAAGAAGAATCTAGCTTGGAGAGTGATGAGGATGAGTCTGAATCCGAAGATGAGGTTTTTGATGATTCTATTTGCCCAACAAGTAAGTTAGATAAAACCATGTGTTCTCTGTGAAGTGTGAATATTGATTGGCAATACTGAGAAGCCCTTTTTTGGTATCTCTGTTCTCTGATAATGAAAAAACGAGGATAGTTAGAAATGTATGAATAGAGTCTAATGAATACCCTTTTTAAAGTATAAGAATATTTATTTATTTATTTATTTATTTATTTAAGACAGAGTTTAGCTCTGTTGCCCAGGCTGGAGTGCAGTGGTGCGATCTCGACTCACTGCAACCTCCACCTCCCAGGTTCAAGCTATTCTCCTGCCTCAGCCTCCCGAGTAGTTGGGACTACAGATGCCCGCCACCACGCTCGCCTAATTTTTTGTATTTTTTTTAGTAGAGATGGGTTTTCGCCATGTTAGCCAGGATGATCTCGATTTCTTGACCTCATGATCCACCCGCCTAAGTCTCCCAAAGTACTGGGATTACAGGCATGAGCCACCGCGCCCAGCTGGGATATTTATTTCTTAATTCAACAATATTCAACTTCTACTATGTGCCAGGCACTTATCTGATGCTAGGGATACATCGAAGTATAAAACAAACTCCTCCATCCTCATGGAGCTTATAGTCTGGTGGAGAAAGACAATAAATATAATAAGTCAATTAAACGGAATCTCAGAGGATGGTACATGCTATGGGAAAAGAAATGAAGGGAGTGCAGGAGTGAGGGTGGAGAGGATCGTTGCTATTTCCAATAGTATGGTCAGGGAAAACGTTAATGAATACTTTTGGGGGCTCTCTGGGTGATTTATTATCTGTTCTCTTAGGCAGCCATTTATGAGTGACAAATAATATGCAGACTATTGACAGTTGATTCAGAATTATAAATTGTGTAGCAAGTTTAATTTTATAGAGAAATGCCAGGCTGTAATTTACATATATATTTTAGAGTAATCTCGTTTTTTGACAAACCTATTCAAATCTTTGTGTTGCAAATCTGTTTTGTAAGGGCGCTTTGACTAGTCTCCTGGAAATGCTTGGCAATTTACATTCACTGTTTTCACTGGTGAAACCCATCTGGAGCAGCCAGACCAGTTTCCTACAGTTTCAATAGATGAACGGTTCAGTAGAGAAAAAAGACGTTTTGGGATCTGTAATTTGTTTTTCTAGACATTTCAAATGAAGTTTTAATTAAATTTTAAAAGTTTAATTTCAGATAAAGTTTTGATCTTGTTTTACTTTTGAATACAGTAGTCTTTAAAAATCATAATATTTACAAGCGAAATAGAGCATACAAACCTTCTAATGCCGACTCATTACTTTTCAGCAGGATAATTAAATGCCTTGAGCAATGACTCAGAGTTAGTGTGGCGATAGCACTAGGGCTAGGTCTAAACTTCCTGAATTCCATTTTAGTATTCCATTTCTACATTCTCTATGACTTGGTAGACAAAGGTGGCTCTTAGTGTGATACTGTGGAAAGAATAGAGAGATAATGCACTTGAATCCCATTCTGTTATGTACCAGTTATGTCACCTCTCTGAGACTTAAGGTATTCACCTATGTATGGGAACAATAGTTTCTGCCTTGCAGGATCTATGAGCCTTGAGTGAGATAATGTACATAGAGGGCTTAGCACAAAGCCTGCTTCAGAGTACTGCTCACAACATCAACACTATTATTATTATTATGGTTATTAACACTACTAATAATTTCAACCTGGAACAATTAAGCCGTAAGTGTCTTAAAAGCCGGCTAGAGCGGATCCATAAATAAACATTGTTGATTCTGCATCTCCAAAGCTCACAGTTTTAGTACTACCGCACTCCATAACAAATGAGGCTGGCTTTTATTTTAATTCTCTTGGCAGATTGTGATGTGGCTCTTTTTGAGCTCACCCTTCAACTTCGAGAGAAAAGGCTGGACATTGAGGAGGCTTTAGTTGAAGAAAAGAAAGTTGTTGATAACCTCAAAAAGGAATATGATACATTGTCAAAAAAAGTATGGCGATCTGTCTACTTATTTATCCTCTCAAAATGCTACACATCCTCCTAGCTACAATATTGCCTTTTCATAGTAATGACAGTATTAGGATTTCTCAGAAAAGAAACATTTCAAATGTTAAGGCCAGGTTTTTTTCTCCCTAAATTGTGGTGGGGGACATTGCTTTTTTGATAATTGGACTTACTTTATCTCAGTCATTGGTCTCCAGACTTTTCTGATGAGTTTACTCTATAAGTGAAAAAAATGAAAATGGAGCCCCTCCCCATACAATAAATGTATATGTATTTATAAATTGTATTTATGAACTATTATATATTTTGTACAGTAGGAAACATCCACAAAAAAACAGAAATTAAATAGAAGGAGATAAAAATAAATAGAAATAGAAATTCTGACATTTTCAATTTATACCCCAATAGATGATTTTTTTTAATCATCTGGGGTGCATGCATCCCATGTTGGAGACCACCAAGCTAAACGTCTGGTATAATATTGATCAATTTCTGCCTTAATCTGCTCACTTTCCCTCTTAGGTACTCTTGTCTAGAGCAACATCACTTAACTTCATTCATGTTCAGAAATATTTTTGATGTATTATTTCTCCTCTCGTGAATAGGAAAGGATTTGGAATACTTTCACGTTTTCTAGGACGTGGAGAATGTGCTTTAGAATACTATAGTTAGCAGTTTCATTGCTTTAAAGCAATGAAATTTGTTGAAGTCATTATGACCAAAAAGACTCCCACCATTCTGTCAAAGACATTCCATGGTGATGGGCTGCTTTTCATGCACAAAATAAAAGGGAGATGAGGACATGTTTTCTGGGCACTTATTCACAAAATTTTATAACTCTGGAGTCATAGAAATGATTGAAAGGGTGACGTGGATCATAACTTGGCAGAAAGAAAATAATATGCATTCCTGAGTTGCAAACTGGGATCATGCACTTAATCACAGTCCAACGAAGCAGATTCTGCTCATACTTTATTTCCTCCCAGGATGTCTTCATTCACCATCTTAAAGTGTATGTTCATTGAGTCTTGTCACCATTTCATGATATGGGGCTTTCCACAGGTGAAAATTGTGGCAACTAATCTGAATGCAGCGGAGGAGGCCCTGGAGGCTTATCAGCGAGAGAAGCAGCAGCGACTGAATGAACTGCTGGTTGTGATTCCACTCAAGCTCCACCAGGTGATGCATCTGGGGAGGCTGCTCCATCCTGTGTGAGAAGCGTCATCACACCGAAGCTTTTCAGAGAAAGATTCGTGGTTCACTAATGGGAAGAATTGTGGTTCTTTGTTGAGAATTCCACCTGTAGAATGATACCTACACTTGTCTTATCCACTGTCAGATTGCTATAAAAGAGTAACATCAAAACATGCATATTTCCCTATTGCCCATTAGCATTTTGGAAATCAGTCATTTCAAGTCTAGAGAAGCAAGGAGCCTATGATTTAAGAATGGAATGGCTCAGAGGGTGAAATCTTGGCTCTTATACCCATATCACTTGTCACACCATCTTGATCTATACATGGACTAATCATGCTAAAATGACCTTTGCTTAGTCTCTACTCATTGGTGAGGGAGGTCAAGACAAAAGGAAAATATTTTCTCTTTTTTACTTTTCTTGTTCATTTCTATTTGAATTGCAACTTATATTAAATTGCAGGAATACATATCATTAAGAGAAAAGGCTCATTGTATTGTGTTTTGTCAGGTTAAGAGAAAAAGCTGTATTTTAGGAAAACAACAACAACAACAAGATCAGCCTTATGTGTGTTTTGTGTAACCTGACCCAAACTGGATGAGCTCAATGTAGTGGTTTGCCTAGTATGCCAGCCCTGAAATGTTTGTCACATCATTATGCAGTAGATAATAGGCATGATCTGTGTGGAAGGATTTGCTATCCCCACAGAGATGTGATGTGGCTTTCTACCTGACAGCATCTTTCTGTGTTTGCCTGGCCAGTGTTACTCGGTGAGGAAGATGGAGAAGCCCAAAGGCAAGGAGCTAAACAAGGGGCAGAGAAGGAAGTGCGCCTCTTATGCTTTTTGTTGCCATATACAGAATCTGTGTTTTTATCTATTTGCTTTTGATTTGTTTTATGCTTGTAGATAGAGTATGTGGTATTTGGAGAAATACCTAGCGATCTTTCTGGTACTTTGGTCTTCTCTAACCACGCCTTGAGACGGCTGCAAGAACGAATCCGTGAGCTCCAGGAGGAAAATTCCAAGCAGCAAAAACTCAACAAAGAATGGAGAGAGAGACGTAAACAGCTCATCCGAGAAAAGAGAGAAATGACAAAAACCATACATAGTGAGTATCGAAGCCCATGGCCTTGCTAGTAAGGTTTATTGGTAAGAAAGGGAATTATCCAGGCGACTGTCTCCAACAGTGAAAACAGTCATTGCAGACTCAGAACCACTGAGAAGGGAAACAAGAACACCATGGCCTCTCACTACTCACCGTTTCTCCTGATGGCATGAAAAGTTCGCTTTTGTATTTTAAAGGGAGAAATCTTTTGTCATAGAATCATCTTCTCTTTGTGTATGATTAAAATGTAGAATAATACAATAGTAACCCAAGTGCAAGGCTACCCAGCTTAAGAAAGAGAACGCTGAGATACAATTGAAACCCCATCTCTTTCTAATGCGATTCTGCTGCTCCTTCCTCGGGGTTCACCACTAGGTATGCACACACACATATGGATGTGTCCACACACAATATGGAGACCTAACTTGCATATTTTTAATTGTGATGATATTTATATCATTTTGTGGTTCACTTTATTGAACCAATTTTTGAGTTATCCATAAACTACAGATAGTTTATTCACTTTACTACTACAATATTCCATTGTATGAATATTAAAGATTTTATTTAGCCTTCTATTGATGGATATTTAAGATATTTCTTAGTTTTCATTATTACAGACACTATTACAGTAAACCTTTTTGTACACATCTCCCTGTGCACATGTGTGAGAAGGTGAAGCCTAGTACTGGATCTGTGGTTTACAGAGGGATATGTACATTTTCAGCTCTCCTGGGTATTGCCAAGCTGCACCTAAAGTGGTTGAACAAATTTATCCTCCCCCGGCAGTGTGTGAGAGTTACTCAGGCTCCGTATTGTCAGCAACACTTGATATTATCAGACTTTAATATTTTTGCCAGCCTGTGAGATGTTAAATTATATTTTATTGTGGTTTTTATACACATTTTTTGATTGCTGATGAAGTTAAACATCTTTACATACATTTGTTTGCCAGTTATTTATTTTCTTTTCTGTAACTTGCCTGTCCCATCCTTTGCCCATTTTTGATTTCTACTTTTTGTTTTTAAATTGATTTTAGGGAGTTCTTAATATGTTCTTTTTGTCCGTGTAACGCACTGCAAATCTCTTCTAGTTTGTAACTTGTCTTGTCTCTTTTTTTTTTTTTTTTTTTTTTTTTTTTTGAGACAGAGTCTCACTCTATTGCCCAGGCTGGAGTCTCACCTCTCTCGCGGTGGTGCAATCTTGGCTCACTGCAACCTCTGTCTCCTGGGCTCAAGAAATTCTCCGGCCTCAGCCTCCGAGTAGCTAGGATTACAGGTGCATGCCACGACGCCCGGCTAATTTTTGTATTTTTTAGTAGAGACGGGGTTTCTCCTTGGTGGCCAGGCTGGTCTCGAACTCCTGACCTCAGGTGATCTGCCTGCCTTGGCCTCCCAGAGTGCTAGAATTACAGGCGTGAGCCACACCATGCCACCATGCCCGGCTATCTTTCTTTCTTTCTTTTTTTTTTTTTTTTTCTACTTTGTCTGGTTTGGATACAGATGTTTTAAATCTTAATATAGTAATTTTTATCAATCTACTTATTTGTGGTTTGTGCACTATGTGTATGTATGTGTGTCTTGCTTAAGAAATCCTTTCCTGTTTTGAGATCATAAAGATATTTTTTGGTCCAACAATTCCACTACTGGGCATATATCCAAAGGAAATGAAATTAGTAATCAGTATGTAGAGGAGATATCTGCACTGCTATGTTCACTGCAGTATTATTCACAATTGCCAAGACACAGAATCAACCTAAGTGTCCATAAACAGATGAGTGGATAGAGAAAATGTGGTATATGTACACAACGAAATACTATTCAGCCTTAAAAAAGAAGGAAACCCTATTATGTGCAACAACACGGATAAACTTGGAGGACAATATGTTAAGTGAAATAAGAGGCACAGAAGGAAAATACCACATGACCTCACTTATATGCAGAGTATAAAAAGTTAAACTCATAGAAACAGAATAGAATGATGGTTACCAGGGTCTGTGGTTGTTGGCTGGGGTACCGTTTGGGGAGATGTTGGTCACAATAAAAAATTTCACTGAGATTCAAAGAACAATTTCAAGAGATCTATTGTATACTATGATTACTATAGTTAATAACAATGTGTTATATTATTGAAAATTGCTAAGAGTAAATTTTAAGTGTTCTCACAACAAGAAAAAGAAAGTATGTGAGGCAATGCATAAGTTAATTAGCTCAATCTAGCTATTACATAATGTATATGTATTTCAAAACAGCATGTTGCACATGATAATATATAAAATTTTTGTCAATTTAAAAAGATAATTTTCAGTAGTTTCCTAATTAGTAGTGCCCTTTGCATTTGGGTTTTTAATCCACTTAAAATTGAGGTATAGAGTATAAGATGTATAATGTAAAGATAATTATCTTTTAAACTACTTTAGCAATTCTTGATATGTGGAACATACATATAAGCAGTGGAGAATGACAACAGAATGAACCCACCAACCCAACTTATTGACAATAATATTACCAACACTGTAACATCTACCTGTGTGTGTTCTTTCCATCCCATTCTCTGTCTCCCCATATTCAGAGATAACCACTATTCCCAATTTTGTGTTTAACATTCCCTTTCATTAAAAAATAGTTATAGCATATTTACATGTATTTCTAAATAATATATTGCTTTAGAACTTTGTAGAAATACTATATCATATGTAGCTTTTTGAAACATACTGTTTCATTTAATATATTCCTAAGAGTAGATGTGGTATAGCATATAGCTGTTGTCTTCATTGTTGTAAAATATATCATATGATTCTACTAAAATTATTCATTCTTCTGCTGACATTTAAATTGCTTTATGTTTTTTTGCTTTGACGATTCTGCTATGAAAATTCTTGTACATGGGGTATGTTTACAAGCGTTTCTAAAAGTATAAGGGTTTCATACCTAAAAGTAGAACAGGGTGGTAGGGCATAGAAGTGTTTAACTTTAAAAAATAATGTCACATTCTCTTCCAAAATGATTATATCAATTTACACTCCAATCAGTGGTACTTAAGAGTCCCCTTTGAGTTACATACATCATTGAAAATACATAATCTTATTAGACTTTGAATTTTTGCCAAACTGGAAAGTATAAAGTGGTGACTCATGGTCTTAATTTCATTTTCCTAACCACTAATAAGGTTAAGCACATTTTGCACATCTTTGGGCCTTTAATGTTTTCTATTCTATAAAATGTCTGTTTGTATATTTTGTTCATTTTTCTCTTGATTTGTTTGCCTTTTAAAAAATTGATATGTAGGAGTTAATTTTTTTGATCCTAGTCCTTTGTTGGTTATGGGTTTTTCAAATATCTTCCTTTGGTTTTTTGTTTTCACTTTTGTGGAGGCTTTTTAAAGATAATTAAAAATTTGTTTTCAACTTTTATTTTTGGTGGGTACATAGTAGGTATATATATAAGATATATGGGATATTTTTATATAGAGATACAATGTCTAATAATCACATCAGGGTAAATGAGGTATCATCACCTCAAGCATTTATCCTTTGTGTTACAAACAATCCAATGATACTCTTTTCGTTATTTTAAAATGTACAATTAAGTTATTATTGACTATAGTAACCCTGCTGGGCCATCAAATACCAGAGTTTGTTTATTCTATCCAACTATTTTTGTACCCATTAACCATTCCCACATCCCCACCCCCACTCTCCTTCCCAGACTCTAGTAACTGTCATTCTACTCTATCTCCGTGAGTTCAGTTGTTTTAATTTTTAGCTCTCATGAATAAGGGAGAGCATGCAAGTTTGTCTTTATGTTCCTGGCTTATTTCACTTAATGTAATGACTTCAGTTCCATACATGTTCTTGCAAATGACAAGATCTTTCTCTCATTGAGACAGGGTCTCACTCTGTCTCCCAGGCTGGAGTGCAGTAGCGCAATCCTGACTCACTGCAGCCTTGACCTCTTGGGCTCAGGTGATCCTTCTGCCTCAACCTCCTGGGTAGCTGGGACTACAGGCATACACCACCATGCCTGGGTAATTTTTTGCATGTTTTTGTAGAGATGGGATCTTGCTATGTTGCCCAGGCTGGTCTCCAACTCCTGGGCTCAAGCAATCGCCTGCCTCAGCCTCAGAAAGCCTAGACTTACAGGTGTGAGTCACTGTGCCCAGCTGAATCTTATTTTTTAATGGCTGAATAGTACTCCATTGTCTACATGTACCACATTTTCTTTATCCATTGTCTGTTGGGGGACAGTTAAGTTGCTTCCAAATCTTGGCTATTAGGAATAGTGTTGCAATAAATATGGGAGTGTAGGTTTATCTTCAATATACTGATTTCCTTTCTTTTGGGTATTTATCTAGCAGTGGGATTGCGGGATCATATGATAGCTCTGTCTTTAGTGTTTTGAGGAATCTCCAAGCTGCTCTCCAAGTGGCTGTACTGATTTACATTCCCACCAACAGTGTATGAGGGTTTTGTTTTCTCTATATCCTCATCAGCATTTGTTACTGCCTGTCTTTTGGGTAAAAGCCATTTTAACAGGGGTGAGATGATATCTCATTGTAGTTTTTATTTGCATTTCTCTGATGATCAGTAATGTTGAGCACATTTTCATGTACCTGTTTGCCATTTGTATGTCATCTTTTAAGAACTATCTCTTCAGATCTTTTGCCCATTTAAAAATTGGGTTAGTATATATTTTTCTATAGAGTTGTTCAGGCTCCTTATATATTCTGGTTATTAAGCCCTTGTCAGATAGATAGTTTGCAAATATTTTCTCCAATTCTGTGAGTTGTCTTTTCACTTTGTTGATTGTTTTATGGTGGCTTTTGATGAACCATAACTATGTGATTTTAATTGATCAACCTTTTATTTTAGGGTTAATAATTTCTAAGTTTGTTTTTTAAATTGCAGTAAAATAATAAAGCATAATATTTATGATTTTAACCATTTGTAAGTGCACAGTTCAATGGCACTAAGTACATTCATACGATTGTTCTACCATCACCACCATCCATCTCCAGAACACTGTTCATCTTCCTGAACTCCATATCCACTAAACAGTAACTCCCATTTTCCTCTCCCACCGCTCCAGGAAACTGCCACTCTACTTTCTGTCTCTATGAACTCGAGTACTCGAAGTACTTCATAATGAGGAGAATAATACAGTCTTTGTCTTTTTGTGACTGGCTTATTCTATTTAGATAATGTCTTTCAGGTTCATCCATGTTGTAGCGTGTGTCAGAATTTTCTTCCTTTTTAAGGCAAATAATATTCCATTATATGTACATGCCACATTTTGTTTACCCATTTATTTGTCAATGGGCAGCTGGATTGCTTCCTACTTTTTGGCTATTGTGAATAGTACTGTGATGAACATGAGTGTACAAATATCTATTTATGTCTCTGCTTCCATTTCTTCTGGATATGTGCCCAGAAGTGGGATATAGGGCTGGACCATATGGCTTAGAAGTGATGAATAACACTGCAGTTAGCTTGTTGCCTTTCTCCATCCCTAGATCTAATGGGGAAGAAGAAGAGAGCCTAGAACATGAGGGTGAGAAGGAGAAAGTTCTATCCATTCTAGGGAGAACACAGCCCATGGCCGTGGGGAATGTGGGTAGTAAGTGTTCCAGCAGACTTTATGTCCCTAGTGAGCATTACCTGGCCTCGTCAGCTCAGGAGAAGGACATTGGGCTGGCTCCACAATGGAGCTGGCAAGGATCAGAGTACATGTTCTGGTATGTGAGGCTGCTGTGCGAGAGGGCAACCCCTTGCGTGGGGGTGGAGCTAAGGGGAAATCAAAGCTCTTACTGAGGAGGCCAGGCAGGCAGCCACAGGCCAGCACACGTGCCCATCATCCATTCATCATTTCATTTGTATCACTGATTATCATGGCCACCACATTATACATGTCCGTGGGGTAACACGTAGGATAGAAAGTGAGTAGCCTCTCCTGGATTGCGCATAATGGCAGCCATGCCAATTGTACTATTCTAATTCAAACGTAAATTGTAACAGTTATGCCCAAATACTAATTTCTGCACTATAAAATAATTGAATCATCTCACTACATATTAAGGCCCTCAGACTTTGCTCAGGGGAGAGTCTGGACATTGAGGAAGTCCTGTTGGAAGATCATGTTTTCCTGGAGAGGTGTTCTAGTGTTCTCACATTGGGGAAAGAAAAAAAACCAAAGTAAAAGATACTGCATGTTAGATATGACATGTTAGATAATTGCTAAGAAGAAAAATTAAACATGGATTGAGACAAAGAGTGCTGAGGTCGGCAGGGGCAGGGACAGGCTCCATGGAAAGGCAGCACGCCTGATCAAACGCGGTTCTCCCTGGCGAGAGGGTAAGAGCCTGCCCTTAGACACAGCTCCAGTGTCAGCTTGCTTTTAGAAAATGGGCTGGGAGGAGCAAGCCATATGGGTCTCTGGGGAAGAGCAGTTCAGATTGGAGGAAAGGAGGCTGGGGCGAGCCTGGCATGTTTGAGAAGCACAGAGGAGGCCAGTGTGTCTAGAGCAGGGTGGTAAGGAGGAGAGGCATGGGAAAGCAGGGGGAAGAGAAAGCAGGCTAGGCAGGCTGACCATACAGGGCCTCCTGAATTCCCAAAGGGACTGTCGTTATTTACTTGGAGTAAGATGGAGACTTCTCTGAAGTGCCTGCTCTGTTCTTAATACTAGATGCCAAAATGCCATATTTGAAAAAGTTGACAAGCTCATAATCTAGTCGGTGCCTGTTAAGAGTCTGAGGAGGGGCAGATCAGTCTGTGAGCCACTTGGGAACATTGAGTCAGTTTTATACAGGATTCAGAAGGTGAAAAGACAATACTGAATGGGCATTTTAAATGAGGAAAGCAGCAGGCAAAAAATCACAGAAGAAAAATCACTGATGACATAAAATCTTTCACCGTCTTGCAAAAGCAGGTCCTTAGAACTTTATTGTTTCTGGTGTTCATTTATAACAATGGGAGCCACTGAACAACCTGAGCCAGTGACTGTCTTCTTTTAGAAATGGAGGAAACCGTCCGTCAGCTCATGATCAGCAAGTTCGGCCGTGTGGTAAACCTGGAAGCCCTTCAGACGCTTTCTGTTAATACAACACTTGAAGAACTGAAGATCAGAAAACTTCGAAAGGAGCTAGCGAATGCGAAGGAGATGAAGATGTGGGAGGTAAGGAGGAGAAGGCAGGTGATCTTTGGTTGAATCTAGTTGGAGGCAAGAAATCCCAGGGAGCAGGAAGTGGTACCGTGAAGCATCTATGTAGCTGGAGCCAGTCTGCGAGCCCCCTTTGGCTGCCCCAGGATCTTGGGCCTGTCTCGGCTTCCTTACTGTTCACTTAGTTAGAGGGACTTGTTTATCTTGGAGTGAGAGCACCAGCACTAGGTTTTGGGGTCCAGGGTGCATATAAATATGACGTGAAATGGATGAAAGATTATGGAGAGGTCCCATTTTGAGACTTACATTAATGTATAAATGTTCTGCAGGCAAAAATTATATTTAAAAATGCTCAGCATCACTAATCATCAGAGAAGTGCAAATTAAAACCACAATGAGAAAATGAAATATCATCTCACAGCATTCGTGTAAAGAAAATGTGCTGTGTATGTGTGTATGTATGTATATGTATATAGAATACCATGGATTACTATGAAGCCATAAAAATATGAAATCATGTCCTTTGCAACAACACAGATGGAGCTGGAGGCCATTATCCTACATGAAATAACTCAGAAACAGAAAATCAAATACTGCATATTCTCACTTATAAGTGGGAGCTAAACAATGGGTACATGTGCACCTAAAGATGAAAATAATAAACACTGGGGACTCCAGCATCCAGGGGAGGATGGTGGGGTGAGGGTTGAAAAATTACCTACTAGGTACAACATTTGCTATCTGGGTAATGGGTCCACTAGAAACCCAAACCTCACTATTACACAATATACCTAAGTAACAAACTTGTACATGTATGCCTGAACCTAAATTTTTTTAAAAAGTATAACTACTCTGACAGTTTTAGAAATGGAGCAGCTCTCCTCTCAGGCTAGAATTGTATTACTGTATGGCTTTTGCATGCTGTGCCAATTTGGAAATGATGAAACACCTTTAAGTAATAAATTTGGTAACAAGTCATAGACTGGCTGACAGAGTCTTAGAGGATGTCAATGCCTACATATTGTTCCCTGAGCCATGAGATGAGCCATGCCCTTGTTCCAGCCTGATTCGGTGGTAGGAGCTTTCACAAAGATTTTATAAGTCCACAAAATCATGATGACTTCTCCAGCTTCCTGTCTTATCTCATTAGCAGATGGGGTAGGAGGAGAGCTTCCTAGTGCTGTGTTGTCTAACGGTTCCATCTCAACTTTTCTAATCCAACATGTACCACTGTACTTTAAAGAAGCAAATAGTGTTCATGTCAGTGGGACTGGTCCCTATTAAGGGAATGTTGGCAATAATATATGCAATCTAAAATAATTTGTTGGAAGCCTGGGCAATATAGTGAGACACTGTCTCTACAAAAAATAAAAAAAATTAGCTGGGTGTGGTGTTGCACACCAGTAGTCCCAGCTATTTGAGAGGCTTAGGCAGAGGATCACTTGAGCCCAGAAGTTTGAGATTGCAGTGAGCAACTAATGGAGCAATAAGAAAACAAAAGAAAGCCATTATACATATGTGTGGCCATTGAAACCATCTACCTTAAGGGTCCAGGGCCAAGACTGGGGAACGATGGAGAAAGAGCAATATAGAAAAGTTAGCTGCTTAAATTATCATCCTTCCTTTTAAGTAATGAGTACCAGCAATCAGTATGCATAGTGATTTCATTCCTCAATAATATAATGATGTCCATATCTATCTTATTTCTACCTACTCCTATTCTTGAGCATGCTTACATTTTTATCTTTAATCAAACCAGGCCCAATGCAATTGTTTCTGTTGCATTTTCCTATTGGCTTCTGATTATATTTTCATATGGGCACATTGTTCCATTTGCCTGATAATTTTGACCAAATCTGGACACTCATTTTTCTTCATTTCTTCTCTTATTCACTACATCTATTTTGCATCTTCCTACCCTGGTAGGAAAAGATTGCTCAAATGCGATGGGAACTGATGATGAAGACAAAAGAACACACCAGAAAGCTCTATCAGATGAATGATTTGTGTATTGAAAAGAAGAAACTTGATTCTCGGTTGAATACACTACAGAATCAGCAGGTATGTTCTTTTTCTTCAGACCCCTTTTCAGAACTGAGGAAGCTCTGTTAAAGGTAGCTATTCACAAGAATGTTAAGTACTGGCATTTAAACAAACCTTGCTTGATCTTGGACCACTTCCAGACCATCTGCATCCCTCAGGACACTGAGTTGGTGTTAGCCACATTACAGTGGGCCTGAGGGACTAGCTTTATTGAATGCCTCTTGGGTGCCATGAACTCATATACGTACTAATCAATAGAATTGCCTTGGTCCTGGAGACGTGTAAGGTTACTTAGGCATAAATAATGACACCATTATATTCCCTGAATTTGGTGTCAAACATCTATTTCCAATATCTGCTTATTTCATTTGACTTGAAGTGGGCATCTCGAATGGTGAAATCTACCTGGTTATCTTATTAAAATGCTTGTTACTTTGTGTGGGTTTCAACTTGCTATTATGTAATATTTAGCCAGCCTAATGTTATACTTAATACATTGTGTGTGGTGGATAATACTTAATAAATATTTACCCAATCCAAGTCTTGCCCTCTATGAACCTAACACGTGTATAGCATATTCTAAACTCGATGTTATATACTTAACAATATTACCTGCAAAAGGCCAGTTGTTTCTCTTGGTCTTCTTTGCTTTATATTTTCTTTCAGCACCCTGGAAATGGTCTAAGCTAGGTGTTCTAACAGTTTGGTCCTCTGAAGAGGAGCATCAGCATCACCTGGGAACTTGTTTGAAATGCAGGTGCTAAGGCCCCAACCCAGCTGTACTGCTTCAGAAGCCCTAGGAGAGGGGCCCAGCAGTCTGCATGAACCAGCCTTCCCGGAGATTCTGAGGCACACTAGAGTTTAAGAATCATTGGTCTAAACAAAAGTCCCACAGTAAGAAATAATGCTGTTTATTCCATGAAAAGTGAATTAGGAGGATTAGGAAGCCTTATAATTGAAGATTAGATGTGAAAGAAGACTAGAATTTGAATGTTGAGGGGTCTTTTTCCACTGAAGAACTTTTGAGTGAAGGATCAAGGCAGTGTTTGAGAAGGTTAATACCTAACCCAAATCTTCACAGATTGAGCAGTCAGTCAACATGTGTTGAGCTGATGTGCTTTGATCAGTCCAGATACGTTGGAGAGGAAACAGCTTAGAGGCAGGAGATCAGTTGAATGGGAGAGGAAGTTACTAGTATCTGTCTCTTTACACAGTATATCTTTACATGTATGGCCTCTTCACATAGGATATCTCATTTAATCATCAAAACACTACTTTCTAAAGCTCCGAGGAGCTCAGTAACTGCTGAAGCTCTCAGAGCTAATGCATGGTGAAGTTAGTTTTGAAATTCGGGTTTGTCTGCCTCCAATGCTGACTCCATTGCTTCTTACAATGATGTAGGCGTGAATTGGGATATAGCTGGTGACAGCAAAAATGTGTCAAATGTCAAAAGTCATTTCAAAGTAAGAATAGCCAAAATTTGATTGAGTCTGGTGAGGAGAAGGGGGGGAAAGTGAGGTGACTTCAAAATAACCCACTGGAGTGACTCGGCATGAGTTGGTATATGAGGCATGCTTTTAGCTACAAGTAACCAAAAGCCCTACTAAGAGTAGCCTAAACAAATAGGAGTCATTTTTCTCACTTGACAAGAAGTCTAGAGGAAGATGACTACAGGCTTTGGTTTTGTAGGTCATGATGCCAGAGCCCGTATCTCTGTGATTTCCCAAAGTTTCCGTCAAAGTCACACAGCAGCTGCTTCAGCTCCCATGTTTCACATCCATGCACCAGCCTCTTCTGTCCCTTTTATTAAGGAGCAAAAGTTTCAGATTATATCCACTTAGCTCTCTCTAGCTGGAAGAGAAAATGGGTAAGGTTAGTGTTTAGCTTTCATGGCCTCTAGAATAAAAGTGAGCAAGGGAAAAGAGACAGAGGGTGCTGGGTAACCCTTACTTACTATGAAGGTCTGCTATAGTACATAGGAGTAATGGAAAAAGTATGGACTTTTAGCATCAGGCAACCTGATTCTAACCCTGCTTCCAGCTTGACTTGGCCAGTTAATGACTCCCTGAATCTCAGTGTCCTTATCTGTAAAACTGGAATGATACCACCCAGTTCAGAGTCGTTTTGGGGATTAGATAAGAGAGCATATGCAAAGCACTTTGCACAGAGTGGGCATCACACCAGTATTATGTGTTTCCTTTCACAGATGTATTCATGCATTCGAATGCTATTGAGCATCTGCTTATGTAGAAAGCACTAGGGCAGGTATTGGCAGAGTGGTGAGACTTAGTCATATGGGGCCCTGTTTCTAAAAGACAGCATCTAGCAAGAAAGATAGGTATCAAACAAGCACTTTGGTCATGCCATATTAAGTTGCCATTCTTTTAGATTTAAAAAATGGTCAAATATCATAAATATTATATGGTTCAGAATGAACCATATAATATTCTGTAAATTATAGTGATATATATGTATAATGGATGTTTCAATAAAACAGAAAGCAGGAAATCCTAACCTAGTCCATGGGGCAAAGAAGGCCTCCCTGAAAGTGATGTGTGAAACATGAGTAGGATTCAGCGGGACAGGGAAATAACTCAGATGAGGAAACAGAAGATTTCATTCTGGGAACCGAAATACGGGCTGTACAGAAAAAGGAAGACATACTCTGTCTTTTATTATTCCAGTGATGAGCTCTCCAGGTAATGAATGACTGATAGCTAGCTTAAAGTATACTCATCCAAAGAGGATTTGCACTTGAAGAGTTGTTCATTAGTCCAAAGGCACACATTTCTAATGGTGGGATTTTAGCAGAGGAATTGAAGCCTCCTAAGATTAAGGAGCAGTGGCTGTTTATGGTGACTGTCAGGCCAACACTCATCACAGATACACAGTATAAAGGCATGGAGTTTTTCACATGCCAAATGATGCTTCAACAGGGAGCTGTTTTCTTTCAACAGGGCAATGCCTTCCAGAGCCTTCGGGAAGCAGATGTTGTGGCAAGAGAGGAAGTCACTGAATTGATCCAACTCCAGGCGGAAAGGATTTCAGCCTTAAAGGAGGAGATTGCTCTTTTGCGTAGGAAAGGTGGTCTTATCCTCCCCCCCATTCGGTCTCCACAAGAGAAAGAGATGCAGCCCGCGGACCTTTGAGTTTGCTGTTTTCGCAAACCCATGCAAGATTTCTGACATAACTCACCCGAAGTTCTGTCTCCTCGTCACCTCCAACAATCTTATTACTTTAAAGTTAACTTGTTTGAAAGTCTAAAACCAGATCCAGTCACGTAGCTTTAAGAATCTCTCTACAATTTGGTTATCTTAGAACCGAATGCAGCACCCAACCTCTGTTATGAAACTGAATCATTTTAGATATTTTGAACCTACTAGATTGAATATGAAGTCTCAGAAGGCTGTTTCATGATTGCTGTAAATCATCTGTAATATATTTTGTTTTAGGAAAATTCGATTTGGGGGTATGCTGAATTTTTAGCCATTGGCAAGAAAAACTATCATTCAGCAATTCGTGAGAAAACTGTTTTCTTGATCCTTAGAAAATAAACTTAGATGTCATTAAGTGTCCTCTGAAAGGATGCAGGATAAAAAGACATCTTGCCAACTATATCTTAGAGCAGAATTGCAAATTTCAGTTTTGGCATTGTTGACTTCATAAAGCAGTTATTTGAGGGCTCGGGAGTCAGGAAATACAAACAGATATGGCAGAGCAGTTTGCTTTGGGTTGGCAGAAAGCAGGAAAATAACCAGCCTTCTTGGATAGCCCAGTTTTTGTAGACTCCTCAGTTCTGAGTGGAGCAGAGGGGTGTGCTTAATAAAACAGTCAATAAGGAGGCTTTTCTCTAAAGATTTCTGCAACTCCATCAGAATTCTAAGTTTTCCCCATAGTTTCTCATGTCCTCTGCCATTTTCTTCAGGTTTTACTTGGGCCATTTGCTGGTTTTGATATAGACGAGGAGACAATGAAATAGATTTACCTTAGAGATCATCTTTCACAATCACTTTTGATTATGCATAACATTTTAAACTAATTTAAGAGGATCCTTTTGGTTTGGGGGTAAGTGCTCATTGAAGCTCATGGCTGTAACCACTGAAGGATAATCTCACTGACATTTAGAATCCTGTTAGTAACACAGCATAGCTCTTTAGATTAAGACCTTTGTATTAATGAGTGACTCCATTGAGGCTGTTCCAGGATAAGCTGGTCACCGAGAAGGGTGGGTGAAGAAGGGAACATTGCATAAATATAGAAGGGAACTCAGCAATGCCAAGTCTTCCTCACCTGTGATTAACCTGCTAATCTGCCCCCCAAAATTAGATACAGGACTTGCTTTCTTTGTACATCAGAATATTCTTAGAGGTGGCAACTTGGCCTATTTTCTTCCTAAGATTTCTTCATATTCCTATTTAAGAGGTCAGAATACCTTATTGTTTTCACTTGTCACCATTAATTTCTGATGTAGTCACTTCTCTAGTGGAGAGCACCCAGTAGATTTTTAAAAAATCACTTTCTTTGTTGTATATCCTAAACCATGTGTGCCTTTTGAGTATTTTTAAAAATATGCAAGTCATAGCCCTGAATATCTTATTTATTGTGATAAAAAATTACCCCAAACTTAGCTTGAAACAACAAACTTATGATCTGACCCAGGAGTGAGAGGGTTTCTGAGGTCCAGGAATCTGGGGACAGCTTGGCCGGGTGTTCTGGCTCAGGGTCTCTCGTGGAGTTGCAGTCACACTAGGAGCTGGGGCTGCAGCCGTCTGAAGCTTGGCTGGAGCTGGAGGGGCTACTAACAAATTCACTCCCTTGGCCATTAGGCAGGGCTTCAGTTCCTCGCCATGTGGGCCTCTCCATAGGGCTTCTCAGGACATGACTTCTCCCAGAGCAAGTGATCCAAGAGTGAGGGAGAAAGCAAGAGAGAATGACGCACACAAGAGCCACAGTCTTTTACAGCCCAAACCCAGAAGTGACATACCGTCACTATTGTCATATGGGTCACAGGCTGACCCTATGTGATGTGGGAGGGGGCTGAACAGGGTGTAAATGTCAGGTGAGGGTTACGGGGGCCTTTGTAGGGGCTGGCGGCTGCAAGCAGCAGCTACCTAGAGAGAGTGGCTGGTCTCTGAGAAAGGTCTAGAGGCGATACCATCCCCTTGGTAAGAGAATCAGGAGAAGTTATGTTATCTTCCTGGGCCTCATTACCTGACAAATGAAGGATTGGTAGAATGGATTCCTTCCCATTCTGAAATTCTGATTCTGATTGCAGCAAGAGTGAACCTAGAGTCTATGGAAGAGCCACGTCAGGATTTGCTGCGCATTTCAACTGAGAGGAAAACTAATCGGGATAATTATTCCCAAACTGAGCTAGACTAAATCACTAGTTAATTCTGCAATATTCAGGGCTTCATTCCGCATGTTTGCGGAATTGACAAGACAGTTAACACTCAATTACTTTATTTTGAATTGGACAAAATACGTTGATAGCTTTAGGTTCATTTCAACTTGATTCCAGGCTTAGTCTTAAATCTGTAGTTAAGTTAGAGCACCTGAATCTTTGGGAAGTTAAGCTTCAAACCCAAGTAGACCAGCAAGGTGTGGCATGGGTGGGTGGCTGGGAAGCTGTCCTGCTCCTGGCACACTTTCCGGCCTCCTGCTGTGCTCCCAGAGGAGCAGCCTCACCTCTGAGGATGAGGCCAAAAATCAGCCTACACTGAGTTACTTGTGGGTCAATTGTTCATATATCTTGGCTATTCTGAACTCTCATCCATAGTATTGCCGATGATCAATCTCAGCATTAGAAGAAACAGAAACCGCAGAGTCCAGCCCCTCTGTCACAACTTTAGAGTAAAGGAGTTGCTCATGCCTGCCAGCCAGCCTGTCCTACCACAGCGGGCTCCCCACTTAGGGAGGTCTGTGAGCCATGCGCTAAACATTTCTTTAGAGCTAAAACCATTGAGTGCTATGATTCCAGTGCTGTGCAGATGTTTCACATATCACTTCCGAAAAGCTCACCAAAATTCATTTTTCAACTACCTTAGATCAAGGAGAAAAAAACAAAGGAAAAAACGTAAAAAACCAGTGTGGCTAGAAGGTGAGTTACAGCTCAGATTGGGAGGCCTCTGGATAGCAAAGCAATGACTGAGAGCCTTAGCTCTACCCACTCCAGAAGTGAGCTCTGGGCCGTGATGCCAGGTTGTCTGAAATCACAGTATCTTATTTTTTCTCTTCTCTTCCCTGCTCTGCTTCTCATTTCCTATCATTTACCTGTTCCTTACAGTCCTTTTTAAAAAATATTTTTAAAATACTGCTTTCCTGAAAACCACGCTGCATTTCCACAAGAAGTTCTGACGTTGAGCTGTTGATGGAAAAAGGATGCAGAAGTCTGAGGAATAGCAGGTGCTGTACTTACTTTGGCCAGCAGAGGATGCACTTGCCCTAAACAGTCAGAGTGACTCAATGCCCCAGGCTTCCCTAGGACCCCGTTTATCGAATTCTTCGGGTTTAGAAGCCAGGGTCTGGCCCCCACTTAATGAGATTGTCTCAAGTGGCATTTCATCTGTAACTCAATTTTACTGAAATCTAGAAAATACAGCCCCCCCCCACCCTCTCCAGCCCCAAAACTCAAAAGTGTAGTAAGGTTTTCATTTGCAAGCATCAGTCTCCATCTAGTTCCACTTCCACATACTAAAGATTTTAAAATTTCAATTAAAAAAAGAATCTATGGTTGATCCTTTGGTTGGACAACAGTATGTAAATGTTGATTTTAAACTAGTGAGTCAACTACTCTGGCAATGCTGGTGTATCTTTGGAAAGAAGGGAAGTCACCAAGTGAATTTATCACGCACCGTATGTCCATGTGTGGCACAGCACTTAGCTATCGTATTTTGGAGAAAATACTTGGTCTTCAACACACACCTATATAAAAAAGATTAGTTTGATGTCTTCAATACGACCTAAACTTCGTCTCAAGTCCAGCTGGTAAGAGAACTGTGAATCTGTTTTTCCTGGTCTGTTGTACAACGGTTCCCTTGTGGACCAGACAGTAATGTGTTCTGTATGAATCCAAGCACAACTGACACTCACTGTTTTAAAAAACAAAAACGAGAAACCTTTGCTGCCTTTTCCAGATCTCATTTCTGAAGGACCTGAAAATATTGTAAGTGGGTATCTTCTTCAAATACTCAGAGACTGAATTCTAACATCTAAAGAAAATGCTGACTCACACATGACTCAGTTGAAGGTTACAGGGAAGACTAAACATTTATTTAGAAGTTACAGTGTTTGTTTTTACAGAGATATGTTGCCACGGATTATTGATTCTGGAAGGTTTTTTAATGCTCATAGTGCTGTACACATCTTGGTCTGTTCTCATGGGCATCGTAGGAAAATGTTCCAGTAGCACCGGATCCAGCCATCTGTGTGGGTGTCTCCAGGCTGTGATACCGTGACCCTTGCTTTTCAACCTCGTGGTTGTGAGGAACCATGTGCCTGGGATCCTTCCTCTTGCCAGCTTATCTGTGGGCCTCCAGCAGCCTCGTCTGCCACCGCAGAGGCCCCAGGTTAGGAGTCTGTCCCGTGCCAGCCTGTGCGGTGCTTTCCTGGGGGACTCCTGTTAGGTGGCGGCTTCTTTCTTTTCCCTCTCCAACCTCAACAGGTAGGATTCCTTATGTCTCTCCAGAATTATAAAACATATACATTATTTACAAGTGCATAAATATATAAATATGGCTATAATAGAAAAATAAATACCAATTTTCTCTGTCTCTTCTTTAAAAAAAAAAATATATATATATATATAGTCTTTCTGGGATATTGGATTCTGCCTAAATTGTGGGAAGTGGTGTTTCAAAAGACACACACACCGGTGGCCCCGGGGAGAGCTGCATTCCAGGTTCCTGTCCTACGTAGGCCCCTGTGGGGTGCTGGGGACACCAGTCTCCTCCACCCACTTGGCAGGAGTCAGGACTGTCCACCTCTTCAACTGGTACAAGGCCCAAGCAGCATGGGGGCCCTGAGGGAAGAAAGAGTAGGAACCATTAAAATCCAGACTGACCGAGGAGCCAACACCCAGTGACACTGGGCCAATCTCTATCTATGGTGGAGGTGGTTACACTGGCTCTGGAAAGGACAGAAGCCACCGAGACAAGGGCACTTCGGTTTCCTCCGAGGTCTCTCATCGAAACAGGGAGGGCCACTTGCACCCATTTCCCACTCATGCTGGGACCGCAGAGACTCCAGCACTGAGCCCACACCACAGGAGCAGATGAAGTCAGTGGAGCCCGTGAAACGCAGAAGGAAGCCCTGCTCTGTGTTTAGGCTGCTAGTCCACCCTTTGCTATGGCTTCTGGTTACAACCATCCCACTCACAATCCAGTCCCCCCGGACTGACACGGTCCAGTTTAAATGATGCTGGGTCGAGCTTTAGGACCCAGCATCTTTTAAATTTAATCTCCTAGAGACAGGGTCCAGGATCTGCCTATACATGGGCATGCACACAGAGAAGCTAAGAAACATTAGTGGATACTTGGTGAGGACACCAAGTATCCACTGATTTCTAAGGAGACTAGCATGGAGGGAGACAATGGGATGGGCTTAGTGCGAATGGCCCCAAACTCCTTGGAGAAAAAGTTCTGTGGAAGTACAAAGAGTTATGATGATGATGTTTATAAGAATTTGGCTCCTTAATGATTGAGGCAACCTTATTCCTTAATTAAGAGACAAGCCTCAACAAAGTAAGGCATTTCAGAATGATTAGAGAATGCCTCTTAGTGTGATGAGCGGCAAATGGTATTTGTGAATGGCCTTGAAATGCACAGACCAAAAAGGGTTTTTTCCTCTGACATGGAGAAATGGCCTTTTTCTCAGAGGCTGAGGACCGCAGCTTATCACGCTGGAGTAGAACCCACCTGGACATCCCACAGACCTACTGGGCCTTCAGCAGTGAAGGAAAGTGGCCAGCCACCCTCGATGCCCCATCCCTCCCACATCAATGCTGTGGCTGGCTCCTTACCAAGCCCCACCTTTGCAGACTGTTACTACTGGCTTGTGGATGCCTACCTCATGTCACCCCCAGCCTGTTCCATTTCCCTGCCCTGCTCCTGCCACCAACCTGAGTGAAATGGAGGATCCCACATTGCTTCTAGGACGGGACTGTCGGGGGCTCTCCTCACCCCTGACTGGCCCACAGCAGCAGGCTGTTCCCGGCGTTGGCAGCAGTCGTGGTGGGGCTGCAGCAGCTGGCGAGTGGAGTCATCGGGCAGGGTGTATAAGAAAGAGCCCTCGTCCGGGCTAGACTCGGGATCCCTGCAGTGCACAAGCCCAGATGGGGAGGTGGGGCCGGGCAGGGTGGGCCTGTCGCCCCACCCCCTGCTGGCTATCTCCCTGTCTGAGGGCATGAGAGCTGGTGAGAGCTCAGATGGGGCAAAGACTGCTTTCCCCTTTGAACATCAAGAGGTGCCACACCATCATTTTCACTCATCATTCTAGTCCATTTCCATTTTATTCCATGTGGGAGGATGTGAGGTCAGGTGTCCAGGGGCCCATGGGCAAAGTCAGTTGTGGTGAGTGCTTCTGATCTGCCTAGTGAGGGAGGATTCCGAGATGCCAACCCATGCCCCCAGGCAGAAAAGGCACCGCAATTGCAAATGAAACAACTGCCTATTAGGGCAACGGCTCAGAGGAGCATGATTGTCAGTTCCGGGGACCCCTGAGTACAGCACTACTGCTTGGCTCTCAGTGACTGGCCTTGGATTTGAGGAGCTAAAGGGAAAGTGAGGCTGTGGGGCTTGGGAGTAAAAGGGGAGAAGCCTGGTTACCTGGTGATCTGGTGACTTTGGGGGTCATATCCATTGCCAAGATGGGTCTGCCTCAGCAGGCGGCTGGTGTCATTCTGCTGCTCAAAAGGAAGAGTAATGAGATGGCCACGCCAGGGAGTCCAGGTAACTTTCCAGTGTTCACTGATCAACAGGAGCATCTGCTCCTGACTAAAGAAAGCCTGGCCCAGCAGCCTGGGCTGAGACCCTAGGAGGGAGGAGGTCCCCCCCAAGGCAGCCCAGTCGCTCCCTCCTGGGTGTCCCATACCTGCCATCCACACCCAAGAGTGCACTACCTGCTGAAGCTCGCCTGGGCAGTGCTGCTGCGGCTTCATGCCCGGGTAGCCCACTGCAGCCGCGGGGCAGCCCCTATTCACGTGGATCCCATTAGCACAGGCCCGTCCACTGATGCCACTGAGGTAGCGCTGTCCGCTGGTCTGGTGGCCTGGGAGTCCTCCCAATGGCACCATAGTATATGGGCAGGAGGAAGGTGGAAGGGCACTTCGAGGAAAACCCAGGTCTGTTGTATGTTCTAGAAGGATAGAAAAACAAAGGTGTGCTTAGGCCAAGGGAGCCTGGGACGGGTTGGAAAAGCCGTCAGGAGCTCCTGGCCACAGAGGGTCGAAGGATGTAGGCAGAGGGTTGACGGTGCCCAGGAGATGGAGAACATTTTCTCTTAGAGTCTCCTTCGTGTGCCCACTTCTACCCGACACCTAGACTCTTCTGCCGGGAGAAGGGTGGGGAGATACAGGGTCCAGGGCTTGGGGGCAGGAAGTGGCGAGTGAAAAGAAGCAGCAATGTTTAGAGGAGGCAGGCTGACCAGATGTCCTGCCATCTGAAGCAGAAATTAGTGACTGAAAGATTGCAGGATAGAGGGGAAAGCTGAAGGCAGCTCCGCACGCAGCGAACAGGCAGAATGGACTCTAAGCAGGAACATGCGGTGAGAGGAGCAGTTTCGGACACTTAAGAAGATAGCACTGCATAGGTCCCGAGCTCCAAAGGTGCACAGAAGACAGCCCAACTTTCCCTCCTTCCTCCTCCCCAAGCCGAGGTCTGTTAGCTGGGGGGAGGGGTCCAGTCATCAGGTGTTCTTTGACCTCAGAGACCTTCGGGGGACTCGGGCTTGAGCTTTCTGTGGACGCAGACCTAGGCACAGGCCTCTGTAGTGGAGCCCCCATTTCCCGCCCAGGCTCCTCCCACTGAAAGCGTCACTCACTCACTTTGCTTAGACCAGGCCCTCCACAAGCAGAAGGGGATGAAGGTGACGATGATGAGAACGATGGAGCCCAGGACGACCCCGACAATCAGATAGGGCAGGTCACTGGAGCGAGCCACCATGGCCCCAGTGCCCACCGGCCGCTCTATGGTTTCAGGAGGGGGCGGCTGTGGTGGTGCCAGAGTTGGGGGTGGCAGTCGACCAGGCTGGCCAGAAGACTTCCGAGCTGTATTGTGGACAAAACTCACTTCAGCATATGTTTCCTTGATATTTCCTTCACAACAAATAGAAAAAAAAAACACCCCCATTCCATGGGTGTGGGAAGTGGGGTCAAACTCACTAGATTGGGCCTCAAAATCTCTTATTTGAATGGCGTCCACACTCAGCATGAAATTGGCATCTAATGTGAAATCTGGTGGTGTGGCGGAGACCTGACCCTTACATTTCAAAGCAGAGCCTGAGATGCCTGTGAGCCATGCACCAGAGCTGGACCAGGTACTTCCAGCAGAAGTGGTGTAGTGCTTTTGGGAAGAGCTGGTGAACTTTTGGAAGAAAATATTTAAAATGCAGGAAGCCAGAACAAGAATTGGGAATGGAAGAATTTACCTACACCCAAGAGTGTGCAACCTGCTGGTGGACTGAGACACGAAGTACTATGTATTAGCATGGATCACAGCAGGGGAACGCGTGTTCCGGGACTCACGAGGACACATGGTACATGTGAGATGCCAATTCAGAGGTGGAGTCGAGGCCATCAGCTCCTCACTTGAGCTTTGCTGAGTATTAGGAGGTGCAGCTGACCCTGCTGGCCCTAGTGGCCGTCTTCTCCCCTGGCTTTCGGACTCTGTCCCCTGACGTTCCCCACCTCTCTGCTGCTCTGTACGCCTCTCCTTCCCTCTCTGTGCCGTCTGCCTCCGCAGACACTGGGAGGCCTTCCTGGTTCCCCTCTGTCTGTACTCTCTGTATATTCTCACCTAGTCCCATGACTTCCACCTATATCCTAAAGACCCCCAAACGAATCTCCCCACCCAGACCCCCTGCCTGGGGCAGGAGTCCTGCTTCTTATCAGACACTTCATTTCAAAGTCTCCAAAGAGCCAAAGACTCGGTAAGCCTCCAAGTGGTTTTACCTTGTTCCTTTCTCATGAAATCTGTTTCTCTTCTTGCTGTTGCCATTTCAATAAGTTTCAGTACTTCCAGCTGGAAACTCCTTTCACTGTCTCCCAGCCCTAGTGCGCAAGCAGTCCCTGGTCCCACGGACACCTCCTTAGCAAAGAGACTCAAACCCGTCCCTTCTCTTTACCTTTACTTTAGAGCCCCAGTTCTCAACCCTCAGCCCATTCCCTGCAGTCACCAGTGACCCATCTCAGCAGACAAATCCACTGACAGTCCTCCCCCACCTCACAGCCTCGCGTGGCCCCCGCTGTCCCTGGCTGCACCGGCTCATCTCACAGTATCCTCAGTGGCCTCTTTCCTGGGCATTCACTCCCATAACCTCCTTCCCAGTACCTGACACTCCAACCATCTGGCGCTATGTCCAGCCTTGCCCCCAGGCCACTCTCTCCTCATCCTGGCCTGAGATTCAGTCTTCCAGCAGACCAGTGTGAAGGCTTTATGAAGCCTCCTCCTCCCTCTGGGCACTCCCTGCACCAGGTGATCCAGGATTCTGGGCTGTGCATGTATCCGCCCTCCCTCCAGTGTGCATGACGGAAGAGGGCAGGGAGGGACACAGAGGCCTCAGGGAGGATCTGCTGAATGACTGAAAGCCAGTGAAGCAGAAGAGAGAATGCTGTTGCCTTGATGAGAGGAAAATATGTTGTTCTGTCCCTATTCCTATTCCTTTGTGATCCTCTCCTGATTCTGTTCTTTGCAATACAACTGCTTTATCTCACTTTCAGTACCTGCAAAATGGAGATAATGCTATCTCTCCATCTGACCAATGTGCAAATATTAACAAGTTATTATGTGACTACGTTTAACATGTTTTAAGTGCAATAGAAAGGGTCTGGTCTTGTAGTTAAGATAATCCCGGCCCAAAGCGTGCTCTACCCCTAACTGGCTGCACGGCCTTGGCTAAAGTATGCAGCTTCCTCATGTCCACTTCCTTTCCCATCTCATGGGATTGTAGTTCAGTTAAATAAACCAACCCATGGAAGCACCAAATATCATTGCTGGAATAAAGTATTTATAGGAAGTTCCCAACTTAAGAATGAGGTGTATCCCCTAATTTCATGGATGAGTTAATTACCAAGTTCCTTGAAGGTGTCGTGATAGCCTATTTAGTATTAAGCACAGACAAATGAGTAGAGAGTGAAACATGACCAAGTCTGAGGTTATGTGGAAAACAGTCTTCCTGGAAAAGAGACCCAGCACCGCACAGGGAATGGTGACTTTGCCTTCCCTTGCTGGGACACCAAGACAGGAGAGAGAACCCAAAGAGCTTCACCTTTGGTCTCACAGATCATCACGTTGCTGAACTCGCTCTCCCCTCCTTCATTGAAGCACTGCATCTTAATGTCGTAGGAGGTCTCTGGCTGCAGGTGGCTGATGGAGTGCCAGTACCTGTCCCCTGGGAAAGAGAGTCAGAATGGTGCATGGCAATGTGCACATGGTTTTCTTGAGCCCAATCTCATAGTCGACTCAGCTGGGGCAGTGTGTGGGGAAGGATGCCACTGACTGGCACAGGGGTGGCGTATGGAGGAACGCTGGAGGAAATGTTCTAGGTGTCCACCCATGTTGTCCCATCATCATGTGGATCCATGAAGTTGATAGCTTCAAGGGTATTATGAATGAGTCAGTGACATGGAGCTCAGAGCTTTGTGTCACACCAGACGCGGGTTTATGCTTCGCCAGATTTCACCAACACCTTGTCCCCCATCCCAGCGGAGGAAATTATAGCACACAGAAGCTATAAACACAGAATTGTGTCTCACCTTCCACCATATCCTTCTTGTAGTCACTATCATTGTCACTGTCTGTGGGTCGATAATAGATATAGAAGCCATGGATTGGGGTGTTGTTGTTACTTGCTGGGATGTACTATAGGGAATGGAGAAGAAACAAGTTGACAATGAGCAAAGAAAACATCATCAAAGCAAAACCACTGGTGTATGAAGCTTCCACCCCAGTCCAGAGTCTGAATTTCACTTGGGGCCCCGGCAAAGATTTCTAATGACATCTCTGAGGTTCTCTGAAAAATGCTGTGAAGATCACTCATTATTTTATTTAGCCTAGACGTCCCTAAGCTTTTGAAGAGAAGAAACAAATTGCCATTTCTCCAAAGACTTCAATTGCTTCTGATCTCCCTGGACATGTGAGGGGCCCCTGTGGCTGAGAAGGGGCCCTGAACAATTGTGTTGGGATCCCCTGTGGTATCAGGGAAAGGGCAGGAAGGAGGGAGAGGTCTACCAGGTCAAGGCACCAGAATCAACAGGAGACCACTAGAGCAGCTCCAGCCACTAAGAGCCTTCCAAATTCCACTGATGAAGCTTTCAGGTGCCCTGTTTGGGGGAGTCTCATCCCCAGGCTCACAGGGAAGGGCGTTTAGGGGAGGCCGTCTTCTGCTGCAGTCCACGGCCAGGCCCGCTTACCATCCACTTGAGCATGATGGTGGTCTCATTGACCGCGTCCGTGAAGGTGATGTAGGGACCTGCCACGGGCCTCTCGTACACGCGGCCGCTGTAGCCCGACACCACGTAGGGCCGAGAGGGGGCGCTGGGCTCGCTCTCCCCTAGCATGTTCAGAGCCCGGACTCGAAACTTGTAGGAGGTGCCTGGTGAGAGGGACACTCACTGAACTCAGGAGCTGGGAAACACCTTCTGATTCTCCCATGGCCTTTCAAGGCCCAGGACCTGGAGGGTCTTCTGGGCAGCCCTTCCCCAAAGCAAGTTCTCAAAGGCCTCACAAGAACACCCGCCATTTTCAGAGCCAGGCTGTGGGAGAGATGGCTCTGGATGCTCTTCTGGAGGGAGGCGGAAGGCTTGTAGGACTGTGGTAAACACCACAGACAGCAACACGGAGGCATGCTGGTGGGTGGGGGCCTGGGCCGAGAGAAGGGGATCCCAGGCTCGTCATCCTCCTCCAGGTGGTCAGGGGCAGCTGGGGGATCAGGCCAAGGCCACAGCATGGCCAGGCCCCTACCTTTCTCTAGGCCTGTGATCTCCACGGACAGCCGCGACGGTGGGATGGCGCTGGTGGCCAGAATCCAGTCTCCCACTTTCTTTAGCTTCTTGTACTCCACACGGAAGGACTGGATCGGGAACCCACCATTCCCACGGGGAATCCAGGTCACGTACACTGAGGTCTCGGAGGCCGTGGAGATGGTGGGCCTGTCGGGAGCTTCTGGGGCTGGGAAAGACCGCACCCAGTAAGGAAGGAAGCAGGGTGAGATGACGGCTGAATGCCCACTGGGCCTGGCCTGCTCCTGACGGGTCCACGCCTCCCCACAGCCCTCCACCCACTGGTGTTCACGTCAGACCTCCCCACGGCTGCCCGGGCTGCCCTCTCCTGGGCGAAGGCTGTGAGCTAAGACCCCTTATGCTATCCTTCTGCAAAGCCAGAGTGTGGAGGCCCAAGGGCCACCGCTCTGGCCTCTGCTGCTCTCTAGATGCACCCAGTCAGCAATCCCAGCATCAATGCCAGCTTTTTATTTAAAAAGCTCCAAACTACATTTCCTCATTGTGGTTAAATGGGAGATGCCAAGAAAATGTCACAAAAACCCTGGACCTACAGAAGTAAGACCCCATTCAGCCACGGGAACAGGCCCTCTGAGGCAGTTCCAGTCCTGACTGCGTGTCCCGTCCCTGCTGCTCGGGCCTTACGGGAGAGGCGGCCGTGGTCGGGCTGGCTGCTGCTCTGGGGACTGGCTCCAGGGTCGTCTCTCTGGATCTGCTGCTCCTTGCTGGCCATGATCTCAGGTTTGGGCCGCCGTCCTGGGTGGAAATGGGTTGTAGTCAGCAAGGGAGAGAGCAGGCATTAGATCTCCCTCCCACAGAGTCCTTTTTGCCTGAGACTCTGCTGAGGGGCGTGACAAAGTGATGCAAATAAGCATCCAGGGCACTAAGGGTGTGGGCTCAGCCTCGGCCGACACTGGTTCTGTTATGGTACTACTGCTGGCCCCTGTGTGAGAGAGGGACGAAGGGGTGCCAGAGAGGCCGGCTGGCAACTCTCCTGATGAGAGCTGGGACCTCAGCCTAGCACACAAACCACAAGGAGGCGGTAGCTGGAAGGAAAGATGAAGTTCAAGTGAACGGATGGGGCAAGGTGAGCAGGAATTCTCACCTGGGCCACTAGAACTTGCTTAGACCCATGGAAACCCTAAGCAAGGGGCAACGTTTGACTCTCACCAGTTCGGAAGGTGACCATGGCTGTCTGGCCCTCGCCTGCACAGTTGTAAGCTGCCATCTCCACTTCATACAAGCTCCCGGGGTCGAGTCTGGTGAGGGTCAGGCGGTGCTGGTTGGCTGGAATGCCAGAGATGGTCCAATTGTCAGAGGAGTTTGTGACCTGCTGGAGAAGGAGCTGGTATAAGGACTAGCTTCTCAGCCTAGGGCTACGAGTAGGCTGTGGTTTGCAAGGAAAGCAGCGCTGAGCCCAAGAGGGCAGGAGAAGGGGAAGGACAATGGGCCAGGTTGGGGTTGGGGCGGCACAGACTCAGACTGACCCCCCTGGCTATGGGACACCAGCCTCAGTGGGACATTCACATCAGGCTCTCTGATCCCTCGTCTAATGATCTCATCAAAGAAACCTCAGTGGGGAAGTCAGAGAGCCTGACTGATATTGCTGAGAACTCCTCCAAAGACCTTTTCTCCCTGTATTTCAAAGAACCTCCATGTTTTGCTTTCTTTCTCCTTCTGTAGGTAAACCAAACGCAGTTCCCTCTGTTTATATTCTAATGAGACACAATGATGAGAAAGATAATGAAAGTATCAGCACCCATGAAATAGCAACATTTGCTAAGGGCTTACTCTGTGCTACACATGGAACTAAGCAGTTTATAGGCGCTACTTCCTTTTCCTCAAAATAGCCCAAGAGATTGGTGTTAATATTGTTCCCACTTCACAAATAGGGAGACTAAGGTTTAGAGAAATGAGCAGTTTGCTCAAGGCCACATGGCTAGTGAGCACCGAAACCATGACTTGACTCCAAAGAGCATGCCCATCGTTGCGCCCTATCCTGGGAAGAAGAGTCTGGGATCCAAAGTCCTGGGTTCAAATCCTGGTTGTGTAACTCAGAGCAAGTCCCCTAACCCTCTGACCCTTCAGCTTTGCATTTCACCAACGAGGCAAATAAACTCTCTCAGGTTATTCTGAAGATTCAATGAGAGAAGTTGTATAAAGTGCCCCGCAGTGAGCTTGGTGCACAGTAGATTCCCAACAAATGCCTGGCCCCTCGAGGCCCCTCCCCACATCCTCAGCCCAGTGCGGTTTCTATCATTTCAGTCCTCTTTGTTTCTGCTCCTGCCTTCAGTCCTTGCTCAGAACTTAAAAACTGTGGATGAATTGTGACTGTGATGGATTAATCCTTAATAACTTCAAATTCCTAGCTCTTTAAAGGAAAAAATAAGGGAGCTCCAGGTTCCCCAACAGGTGATGCTGAGAGGCTGCTCATCTCAGCTGCCCCACCTTTTGGGACAACAGACTTTACTGCCAACTCTACATCCCAGAGAGCCTGCTGGAGCCTCAAGTTGTGGTTTGCTGAAGGAAGAAAACAGCTGTAAGGAAAAGCTCTTCTCCCTGAGCAGAATATTCCAAAGTTGAACAAAACGTACCATTCAAGGCACAGGAATGGTCTGGGCTCATTGTCAGGCTTCCAGGATTTGTTCCAAGGGGAGACATTTTTACAAACTGAGACTCCCCAGTGGTGCTGGAAACCCAAACACAGTAGCCCAGGGTCTGCAGATGCACCAGGAAATGAAACTTGCTTCGCGCATGTGAAACAGTGAAAATTAGCTGAACGATTCCCAGTCCCCAGTAAGAGAAGGCGGATGAAAAAACACAGCCCGAATGCTGACTTTTGATTTCAAATTCTTTCTTGGGGATCTTTAAGACTTGTTAGTTCCGTAAGAGAGGAACTGCTTTCAAGCCAGAACTTCTGCCTTGGCAACCCCAGGCTGAGGAGCCCCCAGGCTGGAGCCTAAGAGAAGCCAGAAGCAGCAGGGGCCTGTCCGGACTCTCAGTTCCCCTGCGCCCCACGTACCCCGGCCCTCCCAGCGCTGGCCTCACACTTCACCGGCCCAGAAATGAAAATAAGAAACAGAAGGGTAATTAGTCACTGTCACACACACTGAGGGGGTGAATGTGGCCTGAGCCTGGCATTTCCGGATCACCACGGCACGGCCTTTGCCAGTCTGCCTCTTGTGCAAGGCTGCTTCATGGCCACCTATTGGCCTGAAAAATATTATTCTTGCTCTCATGCTGGGTTTCGTCTCCTGGGAACCATGGGCGTTTGGCCTGCCCTGATCTTTGTCTACAACTCTGAGATGGAGGTGTCCAGTTACATGGGGAAATAGGATTAGGACTAGCCCTGCCCTACAACATGTGAACAATGCTGCTTTTTGTTAAAAACTCATTCACCCGCTTTGCTGGCTGCCTATGAAGAGGCCAGCAGGTGGAGAACTAATGAGAAACTGCTCCCCCCGTCCCCCTGCCTTTGGGGAGGCAGCAGAGGGGGCATAGGGGGTGCTCTGCCTTAGGTGTCTTTCTGACAGCCCCAGGGTCTCTGTGGACTTGTCCCGACCCAAGGTCTTCTAGGAGAGCATGTAAGGGGAAAGAACAGAATAGAAGGAGTCAGGGGCCAGGGCTCCAAGGCAGGGAAACGGCTTCTGCACAGCTAGCGCGCTCCACTGTGCAGGCTTGGTTCTGTTTTCTTTCTTGTTTGTGGAGGTGGGGAGGAGTAGAGAAATACTTTTAATTCCACATTCATATGCTTTCCATCAAGTGCACATAGCATTTTTATAAGCAAAAGTAATAGAAATGCATAATAAAAATCAGCACGTACATGCTGTTATTTATCAAATACAATTTTTAAAAATCCATTTAAGAATAATAGTTTTCTACTATCGAATGGCCTTAGAAAGAAAATGGCGTATACTTGGAGTGAACAGAAACATTTTCAAGGATGTTTTCTTATGGGGAATTTCATGTCCTCATCCCTGTGGGGTAACAACAGGTAAGAGCACAGCCTTCAGCAAGAGTGGCTGCCTGGGGACCCTGCCCTGCCTCACAGGACACAGTGTACAGGAGCATAGGCCTGGCTGGGCTCTGCCCCCGCATCCCGTCAGAGCCCGAGACTCCCTCCCTGACAGCTCCTGAAACATTCACCTGGACAGACTTCCTTCTGTCAAGGAGAAATAGCTGAGGTCTGAACAACATGATGTGCTTTGAGCTCAAATGCCTGCTTGTCAAACCCAAGCCATGATAGATTCTGAGAACTGAGGGGGTATTTTACAGCCTACAGAGAAAACACTTGTTCACAAATATTTGTTTTCCTGGCATTAGGCTAGCTGGCTTACCATGCCAGGGTTCCTGCGGGCATGTACCCAGCACAGCTTACTTTCATAAAAAAACAAAATGTAACATCAACAACTAACAACGGAGGATGATGGTTACCAGGGAGACTGTTCACCGTCTCCTCAGGGACTACAAGCTAGTGTGAGCTTCTGGGAAATGTGTGCATAGAGCTTAGTACTGGATGCACGCACAAGGCTTTTTCCTGGGCCTTCCAGGGTCCCACACGACCATCTCACAACCAGCTCCCTGGGAGGCAGCCGGGATGGACACTGGAGGAGACAGAAGGGCCTGATTAGTGGTGGGGATTACTGGTTCAGGCTTCAGGAACTCAATGGCCAGGAGGCAGTGACTCTGCTCAGCTTTGCTGGGAAGGCTGTGCAGGGGAGGCAGCGGCCCCACACCAGGGCCATACCTTGCGATGTTTCACCACATAGTAGAGGATTGGTGCCCAGCCACTGCCCTCATGCCGAGGCCGCCACACCAGTTCATATGAGTCGGTCTTGGAGGTGCGGGGCGAGCTGAGGATGATGGGAGCCTCGGCGGGAGCCCCCTGCCCCTTCTCTCCTGGACACTGCAGGGAAGCAGGCCATGCTGATGTTGGGGGTCTGGGGAGTGCCGGTTCCCCCCTCAGCATCTGCTCAGGGCTGCCAGGTTTGGAGGGTGGTGCAGGAGGTGTGCCAGTAGCCGGCTCAGCATCCTGCCGTAGCCTTGCGGTTATGCCTGGAGGACCAACAGGAAGGAGAAGGAAAGGTTAGTCTCCTGGTTTACCTGCCGAGCTGTTGAAATGGGGAGAAAACAGGAAGAAGTCAGAGAGGCAACCTGGGCCCACCATCAGCCCGACCGCCACCCACTCTGTGCTGCCCAGCCGGGCTCCATGGAAGACAGCACGGGTGTCCCTGTCCTGCCAGAAGGAAAAAGCAGCCTGGTCTGCCCGGCCAGGGGCTCAGGGGTGGCTTGGGCATGGCAAGCAAACCTCTCTGTGGCCTGCTTTTCTCCTGAGTCCACGTGAGGTGCATCTCCAGTGCACTAACTCAATTTCCTCTCGAGGCCCAGGAACCCTGTGCCTTCCTTTTCGGTCTAGGCTGGAGATGGAGACATGTCCCTTCATGGTGGACTCTTACCACAGCACCATGTGGGCCTTTTGCTACTGAACATGAGACATGAACACAACTGGAAATGTCCTCTGAGAGTCTGTGAGGCCAGGAGGGGCAGTGCTTCCTTCAGGTTTCTACAGAATGTGCCAGCACCTGTCTCTCCTCTACCTGACCTTCCCCACCACAGGATATGGGCACCTGATAATGCTGACTTAGCATTGTATTGTACTCATTGCTGTATTTTTCTCAAGTCGTTTCCCTGGTAAGTTTTGTCCCCACAGGGGAGTTCTCAAGGGCAGGGTCTTTGCCATGTTGCTCTGCACCCCCATATTACCTCTCCCCAGGCTAAGCATGGTCACTGCTCAGTTGGCATAGGCCCCAACTGGAATGAAGCTTGCTGAGAAGGACAGACTGGCTTTTCTTCACCAAAGCACTAGAGCAGTGGTTGCCAAACTGGGTTCCACAGAAATATTTTTTTAAATACAACAATTAAATGAATTATTTTCATTAGTGAAAATCTGCACTTCTGATTTATTAAGTTCATATACATTTGAACTTACAACTAAAAGCTACTTTTTTCTATCTTATATACTGGTATATTTGAGAAATGGATTCTCAAATGAGAATCATCATCTGGAATCTCAAACCCCTGGGTTACACTCACTTGGCCTGGAGGTTCGCAGCTGGACCACGGCGTGGGCACTCCCGACCTCGTTCTCGGCCATGCACTGGTAGACGCCTTCGTCCTCAGGCCCCATGCTGAGCACGCGCAGGGCCCTGCGGGAGAGCTGGAGGCGCTGGCTGGAGATGAGGGGCGTGGCATTCCTCAGCCACAGCACAGAGGGCGGAGGGTTCCCGCGCACCTCACAGGTGAGCTTGGCACTCTGGCCCCAGGGGATGACCAGCTGGGACAGCTCCATGGTGACCTCAGGGGGTTCTGCCAGGAAACCAGAGCAGGGTGAGAAGGACTGGGTCTTTCTGTCCCAGGCCAGATGGGCGGGGAGGGATGCAGTTAGGAGCAGCTCCCCCTGCCCTTCGGCTGTTGCTTTTTCCTAAGGGCAGAGTAGAGGGAGGGAGAGGTCCGACGTCTCCACCGTCAGAGTCATGACAGGAGAGCTCCAGGACTGTGTGCCCCTGCTCTGGGATCCAAAGAGCACTGACTCTTCAGCCTGCCTCTGTTCCTCACTCGGCATGTGGCCTTTCACAAGACGCAAACCCTCCGTGAGCCTGGGTTACGTTTCTAGAAAGGCTGCACAGACCAGAGAGAAGGCCAAGGAGAAGACAGTCCACAGCAGACACTCACCAAACACCTGGACGTTGTAGAGGATGACCGCTGCCCCAGGCTGCCCAACCCCATTGTCGGCCATGCAGCGGTAGGTGCCTGAGTCCTCCTCGCTGGTGGTGTCGATGAGGAGGTTGCTCAGCAGGAAGCGCGTCTTGTTGTAGCCGGCGACACTGGACCCATCCTTGGCCCAGGTGACCCGTGGGGGTGGGATTCCACTGGCCACACACTCCAGAATGAGACTCTGGCCTTTGGTGACTATGATGGTTTGGGCCTCCGGCGGGTAGATGATGCGGGCAGCCTCAGCGGTGGAACCTGGAGGGGCAAGGAGGGCAAGGACAGAAGGCGTGTGGACCAGGATGTCCTGCAGAGCATCCCCAGGAGGCAGTCCCAGAGAGCACGGAGATGGGATCAAACAGCCATTCCAGGTCCTTCAACCTAGGTAGAGCGGGGTGTGCTACAGAATTCCCTTGGGGCTTGGTGTCCTTATCAGAAACAAGGGCTTCTTCTGCAGGGAGCTGTCATGAGTGAGAAATGAGACAACACAGAAGAATAGCAGCATCAACACAACAAATGCACAGTTAACGATGTGTGCTGGCAAGGAGAGAAAGGTGAGGGAACGGAGAGGCAGTTTAAATGGTACAGATGTTTCTTTCTGCTTGCCCTCAGTAAGAGCACTGTGAGGCTGAGGATGAGATGGGAAACAAGGATCTGCCATGCTCCCAGCCCCACCCTATGGTTCTCAGGCCCAAGTGTCCCTCACAGTGAGCATCTCAGAGCTGGCCTCCGGCTGAGCTGAATGGAATCCACTGTTTAAACACGTGCATTTCTCATACTGCAAGGTCCCCAAATGCAAATCACTATGTACTTCATCAGGACACAGCTGGGGAAGCTGTAATCTTTTTCTAACACTGCGGACAAACTGCACAGAACTCACTGAAAGGCACGTTGACTCTCCAATGTGTGCCGCTCCTCAGCGACCTTCGAGGAGCACAGGGACCACGTGTGATTCTGCTTTATATGCCAACCAGGGACAGACCCAGGTTTTCTAAAACCTGAAATTTATACAGTTTTGAAGGCCCAAAAAAGAATGGAAAACACTAGATACGAAATTAGGCCCTTCTGAGGCCTCTGTCAGTGAGTGAAGGACCACGGAAGTTTCGCTTCATTAGTTTCACAGTGACTCCATCTCTGGTGCCAACTCTAAGCTAACTCCGTGTAAGACGCCACTTCTCTGAATAGGCAGGGACTCCAGACAAGTGCATGGAAAGGTAGCTGCTATTTTCCTGTGCATTGAGAGCATGTGGGTCTCCTGGACGCTCACCAGAGGGTGGTGCTGGGCACACCTCATCCATGCAGAGAGTGCAGGCCCAGGGACCTCATGCAGGGCAGAACGGCGGCCTGGAGGCCTTCCATGTGGGCGTCTGTGCAAGGCACGTGCTGTGTCTGCTGCTGAGCTTGAGACGAGACCCACCGTCCTGCCCCAGCACACACATACTGACCCATCCCAATCGCAAAGTAACGGTGAAGGAAACCTTCCAACAGGCAGGTGTGACAGCAGGCACAGTCACCTGCCGGAGTCAGGCCTGAGGGCTGTGTGTTGTGAGACGCTGGCCCTGAGGCTGGCCAGAGGGGAGAGAACCCCTGGCTGAGTCCCAGGTGTTCCCCCTGGCCAAAGCCAGTGTACACAGAATTGTAGCTTGGATGTGGCACCTCCAGGTATCTACCTCCCTTTCTATCTTTGTGAGCCCTTCCATCAGTGATCCCCCCCGTCCCCCAGCAGATGGGCCCGGGCCTTACGGCGCACACGCAGCCTGTCGCTGGAGCCGGAGGTTTTCACTTCCTGGGTCACTGGGTTGTAGGCCGCACACTTGTACATGCCCTCATCCTCCTGGCTGGCATTCACAATCTGGAGGTTCCCCGAGGGCATGATCAGGTAGTTACCTGTGGAAAGGGCAGGGCCAGGGGAAGACGGGATGGATTTGGGTCCAGAATGCTTCACTCTGCAGCTTCCACAAAGGAGAGGTGCACGAAGGGAGAGGAACAGGCTGGGCAGGCCCTAGGAGCTGATGTCCACCTAAGTCCCCACAAGACCAAGCCTAAGATGCTGTTCTCCCCATAAAACCTTGCAACAAGCGGGACAGAGGGCCAGAGAGAAAAGGTAACTAACCAACCAGCTAACAGACTGGCTGACTGGCTAACTGCCACAACTTAGGGCATAGGTCTATGGAAGAGCATTTTATACTTTCAAGGGAGCTAGGGGAGGCTAGAAAGAAAGCAGGATTTTGAATCAGCCATGGTCTCATGCTCTGGGTCTGCTGGGTATTCACTGTGTAATGTAACTTGGGCAAGTTAATTAATCACTCTGATCCAGTTTCCTTATTTGTGAAAAGGCTTAATGTATGCTGCCTCAGGGCCATTGTAAGGACTGAGAGGTCCATGCTGCACACATGAGAGATGAGATCCTCATTCCTGCAAGCCTGGAGGAAATGGATTTTGGAGCTTCCCCTCATTCTCCCTTCCCAAAATGATGAGCAAATCTTCCCATCAGTCATAGCCATCACTCGGAATCACCTCATTATTGCATTTCTGCTACTTGGAGAGGAATATTCTGACTTCTAACCACTGTCCTCCCCATGAATGCCACTGAAATCCTTTCTTCCACATCAGGGGGCTGTTAGGCTCTGTTTGCTCCTGGTCCACGGGTGCCATGGGCTGGTGCCCCAGCGGTGTTCAGGTTCTGTAACTAGGAGGCAGATTCACAGCTCCTGGACACCCCAGCAACTAGGGTGGCATTTGGCTTCCTGGCAGGTAAAGCTATGGTCGTCAGTGCCGAGCTTTGCCCTGGTGGCCCCTCCTGAGAGCTGTGCTGTTGCCAAGCCTGGTGCCTGCCTGCTGCTGGGCCACCCAGGTATGAGCTGCTTAGCAAGTGCCAGATGGAGTGGGAGAAACCCTTGGCCCTGGTGGGGCAGGCAGGCCTCTCTCGGAGGCTGCTGCCAACCTTCTGCTGGGGACAGTAGGGATTAATGCTCTTCTTCCCCCACTCTCCAGTTGGTTCTGAGTGGTTGGATTAGGGGTTTTACCTTTTTGAAAACAGTTTTCTGTATTCTCTAAGTTTTCTATAATGAACATATGTTCCTTTCATAACCAGAAAGAGTTGATAAAAATATCTTAAAATCTAGAGTATATTTTTAAAGGTATACTTTTTTTTTTCTTCTTGAGACAGGGTCTCACTCTGTCACTCAAGCTAGAGTGCAGTGGCACGATCTTGGCTCACTACAACCTCAGCCTCCTGGGCTCAAGCAATTAAAAGGTATACATTTTGAGCTGTGGTGTCAGGTTAAGTAAGGTCTACTTGGCCTCGAGTACAGGGTTAGTTGTGAAAAGAGGCTGGCTTTGACTTCAGGGACAACCTCTTCCCCTCTGGCATTCTGTGGACCAAGTCTTGGCTTCTCTGGACCTGCTGCCGTGTCTGTCCACAGTGGCTTGAGCAGGGAGCTGTGACAGCTGAGATAACTGCATTTACTATGCAAACAGGGAGAGGGAAAAATAAAGTCCACTGCAAAGACTGCTCTGCTGCATGGGGAAGAGCTCCACCTCCTGCCAGGGTACCCTGGGGCTCCGTGAATGGGCTTATTAGGCAGCCTTCCTGTGTGTGCCGGGAGGCACAGAGCTTCCACAGGCAGCATGCAGAACCACGTGCTGAGAGCCTGGATGGAACAGCAGCATCTCAGTAATCATCTTCTGGGGCCTGAAAGGATAAAGAAATTCCTCATGCTAAGACAGAGGACTTCCGTAATGGAAGCCACCCACTTTGGGACCCTACAGGACTACATATCAAGAAAGAAGACATGACCAAGTATGGTGGCTCAAGCCTCTAATTCCAGCCAAAGCGGGAGGATTGCTTGAGCTCAGGAGTTCTAGACCAGCCTGGGCAACATAGCGAGACTCTGTCTCTATAACAAATAAAAATAAAGTTAGCCAAGCATGGTGGCATGTGCCTGTAGTTCTAGCTACTCAGATGGTTGAGGAAGGAGGATCTCTTGAGCCCTGGTGATGGAGGCTGCAGTGAGCTCTGATTGTGCCACTGCATTCCAGCTTGAGTGACCTAACAGGATCCTGTCTCTTAAAAGGAAAAAAAAAAAGGCAGGAGGACAGCTGGCCAGCATGAGGACAGGGCTGCTGGCATGTTGAGGGGGTTTGTGAGGCAGCCGCAGCTGCCCTAGCTTTGTTGAGCAGTGAGCGGTTGGAGAAGGCCAGCTTCCCTTCTGGCCTCAGCCTCGGCCTCTGGGTTCCCGCCCACTCACCTCTGGAGGCCTCCAGCCACTCTTGTTTGACGCTGTACCGGACCTGGGCTTTGGGGTGGCTCTCAGGCAGGTGGCAGGCAATAACTGCTGTGTTTCCCTCATCCACTTCAATCACATGCTGCACGTCTAACTTGAAGTCCTCGAGATCTGTGAAGAGAAGGGAAGGTGCTGGCTGGAGGAGAGCAGAGCAAAAGTGTGACATTTCAGGGTGGGCTTGTGCCTTGGTGTTGCCAGTCATGACAAAGCTCACACCTAGGGGGATATCAGGGGATCCTCCAAGTTCTTCCTCTGGCCCCTTGTTGTCTACACGAGTTTGTAAGAATGTGGGGCCCTCATCACTGATGGGGTTCACTTTGTATATACAAGCTGGGGGAAGGTGCAGAGGGAATCCCATCAAGCGGTGCCTCTGGCTCAGACCATCTGTTACACTGAGATGTGGGGGCAGGTTGGCTCTGCTTATCCACCCCAGAAATGGGGTGGGTCAAGGTACAAATGTCCTAGCAGAGCTGTCAGAAGGCTCAGCTAACAGAGATGGAAGGGAACAATAAAAGAGAATGCTGATGTCTTTTCTCCAAGTTGATTAAGAACAGCCTTCCCAGGTTCTCCTCAGGCATCCACGATGACAAGCGATAGGCCTGAGACTGCACTTGATTGATGGCCATGGTTGTAACCAGAAGGCTGATACTTGCTGCTCAGGAGCCACAGCCCGCATCACAGAGGATCCTTCCTTGGGGCTGGGGGCAGGACTCTGGATACCCTAAGGGTTTTCTAAGGCAAAGAGGAATCTGCCAGGACAACAGGCAGTGCCCCAGGGTGGCTTAATGGCAGTGGACTGCGGAGGAGCCGAGGTCCTGACATGAGGCTGTGGTCTCTGGCAGCCCCAGGGCCATCTCTCCTGGCTTGCCACCATGGGATCTAAAGTGGGAGAGGATGGAGATCCATCTAGAATAAGAGCAGAATGTTTCCCAAGCAATCCAAGAGTCCAAACAACAAATCTCTCTTTGTATGAGCCAAATCACTGATGTCGCTCAGTAAAACAGGGACCACTTGCACAACAAAACTGCATGCATTCCAAGTTGGAAATCTGGTTTTCAGGATTGTAGCTGAATTTAAGAGGAGAAATAAAACTAATGGAGTATAAGACAGATGGAAATATTTTACCCACTCTCTTCCTAAAGGTAGTCAGAAAGCCCTGGAGGCACCGTCTCCGAATGCTGGCCACACCAAATTCTGCTCAGCTCCCGGGACTGATAGCATCGGGCCTGACTACAATTTCACTGCAAGACTGCACCTGCCTCTGCTGTTGTTTCCACTGGAGACCCAGAGAGGGCTGGAATCAGGTTTCTCACAGAAGACAAGAGATAATTACCAAAAACAAACTGGTGTCACCCTAGCAGTGCCTGGTGATTAAGGTATTCAGTGAGGTCAGGAGGCTTCCCAAGTAATGGAACTTCCCAGCAGCTCTTAGTCAATTCAAACCAACACAGGGGAGGAAAAGGATTTTGTTTCTGTGAAAGGATTGATGTCCCTTTGATTACAATATTAGACTGTGAACTCTTTGGGGCATGGACCAAGTTTTGTTCCTGTCTGTGTCCCCTGAACCTAACCCAGGTCCTGGCCCCAAGAACACACTTGGCAAGTATTGAATGAATAAATGAATGAATGAATGTTAATGAATGAATGAGTATCTTGGAAGCTGAGCCCCACAAGTTAGGTACAAGATGCCCATTATGCTGCCTAGAAACTCAAATTCATAAAGTTGGTCTACATTTTGAAGAAATGGACAAGAGCCTAGCACAATGAATGTTCTATGAACATTATATCTAAGTGTGGCCAGTGAAAGTTATTTTGAAAATAGAATGTTTCTTGAGAGGTTATGCGGGATCTGAAGAAAGAAGTGAAATAGGTCCAATAAATGTGCTATAAGAAATACATGACATTCAAGGAGTGATGTGGTGGAAACAGTGATAGGATGGACATTCCATTCTCCATGATGTGCTTATTTCACACTGCGTACCTGTATCCAAACATCTCATGTACCTGATAAATATACACACACACTATGTACCCACAGGAAAAAAAAAAAAACTTAAAAAAAATCAGGGATTGGTTGTCTGATTCCCTTCTATTGCCCCATTTCACTTTCCAGGCTGAACAAGCATGATGCCTGCGGGTCAAGGTGAGATCTCTCAGATTCCTTCCTATGGGTAAGTGTAAACCCTCCTGGGCTTCTAAATAATGTTTTCAAAATTATTTAGTAGTGTGTGTGTGATATCTGACCCTAACTAAAGTATAAATTCCTGGTGGGAAGCCTATTAATTTTTCACTCTTCACCCCAACCCCAAGCTCTATTGCATAGTACTGAGGACACAGCAAATGCTTTCTAAATCCTTGCTAAATAAATACAGTTTGGAAGTCTGAGCCCAAGACCAGCTTGATGGGTGCGCAACCTGCCCCTGCACTTGATGGGGCTACCACTTGGTTTAATGCTCTGCTTTCACCATCTGAAAATTCTTAATAATGCTTGAACGTGGGACCCTACATTTTCATTTTGCATTTGGTCCCACCAATTATTTAGCCCAGTCCCGGCTGAGCCTCTCAGCCAAGATAGCTAATGAGTTTCCTCTCAGAGAGGAGGAAGGTTTGGACTATGGGAAAGGAATTGCTTGAGCTCAACATGTTCTTGCTAAATATTGGTAACTGTGTTTTCTGAAAGCAATTCACTTAAAAAATGCAAAGGCCTTAATCCTCCTTCAGGCCAGTGCGCCCTGTACCTGCCAAGTCAGGAGGCTCCCCACAAAGCGAGCTGTGAGTGATTGTGAGCTTAGGGGCATCTGGAAAATTCCTCAGGCGCTGTGAAGCATTCTCCTCTATGGTCGAATAAATCCCAAACTACTCCACCAATAGGTTTTTGTTTTTTCCTCCTCCTTTTCTTCACCTCATTCCAAGGATATTTGCCTTAAGCAAAGAATATACTTAAACCTAGCAGATCATTTTCCAAGAAAGATGTAAGCAACTGAAAGGAGTTTGGCACCAGGACGCCATCTCCGTCTTCACTGCCCCAGGCTCCTGCCCGTTGTAATTGAGGGCTTATCCAGGCACGGAGGGAGCATGTACTCTGCCAGGCACCCACCTCAGTAACCCAGTGGTAGAAAACACTGGCCCTTTTAATCCCCTCTTGGCTTCTGCTGCACCCTCTGACAGCTGCTCAGCTGGAGACAGAAGGCTGTGCAGTGGGGGAGCATGAAGCTGGGCACTGGTCAGCCATGCGGCCAGACAGCCCCTCTGTTCTGATGCCAACATGTGCACAACAGCCTGTGCAGGCAGGACGGAGGGCACCCCAGCTGGACATCCAGCTCCCCACAAGCGGCGACTGGCAGGCGAGCCTTCCTGGCTTCAAAACAAATAAGCAGCAGTTTGGTTCTTGGCCCTGTCCATCTTACCCCCATCCCTGCTCCCCCCGTGCCTCCTAAGCTTAAGCCTTAGCTTAAAACACTCCCAATTTGGCTGCTCGAGTAAAACTTGAGTTTCACTAAGGGATCAAAGGCAGAATAATGAAGTGATGAATGATCTGAAAATCAGAGGACTCCCTTTTTCTAGTGTTTCTGGACAGGAAGGGGGGCCAGGGAGGGGTGGGGAGTTCATGATCAATAAGAGCCTAATCAGCCGTCAGACGGGGCAGATGCAGAGAGGAGCTCTAGCTGGCGCATATGAAGGAAACCAGCCTGTTCCCAGGCCCCTTTGTCTGCAAAGCCGGTTTCCTGGCCGAGTCCCTGGGCTGCTCAGCGTGCTTCACTGGAAATAAGGGACAGGCCCTTCAATTACAAATGGGGTTAGCAGGCCTCCGCTGCAGAAAGATGGATCAGGTTTCATGGAGAAATGGTTTGACAGGACACCTGCCCTTGCCTGTTGGCTGGTGTGTTTGAGAAATCCATTAGAGGAATGTTTTTGCAGCTTTAATCCTCTTACCTTCCCTCCCCTCACACCCTTTTTTCGCATCCTCTCTTTGGTGCATTTTCCAGCTACTTCATTAACTTGTCCACATTAATCAAATGCTAGTAGGCCCAATCTTGTTTCTCAGCTCCCAACAGGTCAGAAGTCCTGGTCTTTGGGGCCATCTCTGAGTTTACGGACCTTATTTACTTGTCACAGAACTTTGCGATTTCTGAGAAAGCCCATGATATTTTGGGCTCCATATAGACCCCGGCCCAGTTCCTTCCTTCTGGGAGCTCAGTTTCCAAAGGGAAGAAGTACACTCTGATACATCACTTCTGTATGATCTCTGAACACAGAGGTTACAGGGATGTGTTCAGACACACATCATATAATGTACTCTGTGCTTTCTCTTCACATTCAAAGGGCGCATCAGGCACAGAACCTTTTGGCTATGGGAAAAACAGAAAGCAAATTAAAGACTGTCAAAGGTACACGGATGTGGCTGCCATCGGCAGGATCACATGTGAAACTGCAAACTGGCACATTTTATCTTGAGTGTCTCTTGAATTTCTTTCTCACCACCTTCTAGTATCTTTCCTTTATTAATAAAAGGTTCGACAGAGCTACGAATTAAATTACATTTGGTGTATGTTCATGCATTCTCATAACACAAATTGTCAAATATTAATTGTAAGCTTATCCCCCAATTTTCATGGACTTTACGTGTCCAACTACAGAATGTGTTGGGTCTCAGTTAAATGCCCCAGGTCTAAGCCATAAACCTAACAATCACTTCCAAGGGAGTTCTTCATTCAGTCTTCTGCATCCTCCTTTAAGCTGCAAATCGAAGTTCGATTCTGTTTGAAGTAAGAAGAGAAGATGCCACCATCCGCTGGATGCTGCATGGAGTTACCAATATCCCCATATCCATGAGCTCTGCTGAACGCTTAAAGAAATTTTGGCCTTCTACCCTTGAGGGTACTTCTCACATACAGTCCTGTCCTACCCTTCGCCTGTTCCTGGGGATCACAGGGCAAGCCTGCACTCCTCTACAGAGGTCTGGATGGGATCCACCAGGTCATGGGGCACCGCAAGGGGCTCACGTGGCAATGCTGCCAGGATGGCTTAGCAGCCTCAGGACCACTGACAGGTTTCTGGGCTGATGGATAATTCTATTCCCCAACTGTCACAACCTGCAAGCCTCAACTTGT